AAGAAAATCAGATATTGAGATTAACCTCAGAATTTTTTTTAGTAAAAAGAAACAAGAACACTTCTGAGTTCAAAGGGTCAAAATAAAAAAATAAAAAAATCTGAAGTTTTGAGTTATCTTATATAATTTATAAAAAATACAAGAAAAATTCTGAGTTTGAAAGTTCAAAAAGTTTATAGAAAAAAAACTCAGAAAACTTAAGATTAATGTCAGAAACTTTCTGGAAAAGAAATTAAAAAAAAATAATTGAGAAGTTGTTTCTGGCGCCATAGTTTGTCAGAACCTCCAGGTTCATGCTCATGGTCGTCGGCTGCTTCTGTGCGTTCAGCTTCATCGGCTCCATGGCTGTGGCTCCTTCACAATGCAGACCACATTTCTCCAGGATCGTGTCAAAGACCTGGACGGTTATAACAGTAATTACAAACCGAAATAAAACAAAACCAGAAGGTAAAAACTGAACAGACGTTCTCAGATGATTGTAAATCTCACCTGTAGGATTGTGGGAACCGTCTCCTCCAGGTCGCTGTAGTAAGCCGGCTGCCGAGTAAAAATGTTCTCTGAAATGAGTTTTAACAGCCAATTAGAACAATAACATGTGACAATCTCAGCCCTTTCTGCTCAACATACATCAATATGATGTAGACTGGACTAGCTGGTTAGTTTTTAGATTAACTGATTAATAATTTAATCACATATAGGAAATGTATTTTTAAATTTTTTTTTACAGCATTTGATCCAGGTGAAGCAAAATCTGCCACTTGAGGCGTTCTGCGTTGGACATATTTACAGATAAAAAAATGTTTTTTAAGTGTTAAATTCAAAATGTGTATTTTTTTTAACAGTTTTGTAAACGCTTCTCTAATTTTTTTAGGCTATATGCTCCAGTTAATGATTAAGTGATGACTAAATTAGATCACAATTATTTTTTTTAAAAATCAATTAATCACGATTAATCATTTCAGTCATATATTCTCTCATACAAATTTCTGACTTTGTGACTTCACAGAATATTCTTGTTCTAATATTTTGAATTTATGCTTTTTATTCAAGGGAAAAATAATTTTCTCCTAAATTTCTCCAGGTTTTGTCATTTTCAGGTTGGATTAAGACCATCACAGCACCTCCACCGTGTTGGACAGTGACGGCTTATAGACGTCTATTATTTCCTGTAGATAGGGAAGTTTCCAAGCTTAAGCTGTTCAGGTTTATACCATATATTCTGCTAATATTTTCTTTGAATCTATGTTTTATTGAGTATTTTCGATTAATTGTTTCAGCTCTAGTTTTGATTAAAGAAGATTTTCACCTATCATCTTATGAAGCAGCTGGCTGTTGCCCTTCCCAAAGAGAACGCACAAATCCAGAATTTTAGGAATGTCGAACACAAAGTTGTTGTAGATAATCTCTCCAAACACAGCCGGGGTAATGAAATGTTCCTGTCGCAAAGAAAGAAAAAAGAAATTTATAAGAAACTGTCAGATAAATGTACATTATTTACATTATTCCCTCCGCCTGACCTTGGACTCTTTATGAGTGGCCATCCGGAGGAAGGTCAGGAAAACCGCCTTGTGGATGGTGCGCTGCACGTCGGCCACCGCCGGCGACAGGGGCAAGGTGCAAAGGTCAAGGCCGCGCTGAGCCAGCTGCAGGTATGAGTCGAGACACCGCAGCAGAGACTCATCAAACACCACCTGGTGGAGACGCCACAGCGATTACTCTGGACTCATTTCAACCGTAATAAATGGAACATCGACCAACATATCTGATGTTTACTGATCATTGGCAAACTGTAACATCTGTTACTGCTTTTCACAACTGCTGACTGTATGCTGCTAAATTATTCCAGAAGTTATTACAATAAATTATAATATTATTGGCTGACACTGGAATTGGAAGACATTTTAAATATTCAAAATAAAAAAAACAACAAAACTATAAATGAAATAAATTACAAAGTTCCTGTAAATAAAATTGTCCTTCAAAACAAGAGCCAGTTCCGACCACAACACCAGACTGAAGACTTTTATCATCCAGTTTTTGGTAGAAAGAGAAAAATGATAAATCAGGCAAATGGAAATTATTAAGCTCATTTTAATTTATTGTGTGATTATTTGATTTATTGCTTTTTGTGACAGTCATGGATGATAAATAAATAAACTTGACTTATTGACTAATTTCCACCAATCGGAAGCGGCATCAGTCCCATACCTGACACCAGAACTTGTCGTGAGGCAGAGTCAGCAGCCACTCCAGGTCTTCTGCTATAAACCTGGCGTGCTCCAGAAACTCCTCCACGTCGGCCGGAGAGCCATCTTCTGGGGGAGGTTTGTAAGGCACGAAGCAGCGCTCCTCCTTCCTGTCTGGGTGCTGGTGGAAAACACAACAAAAACTTTAAAGGGGCAAAATCATGTGTCTTTCAACCACATTGTGCCATTTCAATGCACAATCAATTAACTATCTTACCTTCAGTTGTAATAAAAATGCTGTTTATATCAAATATGACTTTAAAAAAATTTACTTCGTAATTAAATCCTTTCAACTTGGGCCTCTGTCTCTTTAAGAAGCTTCTGCTCTTTTTGAAACTCCGCATTCAGGAAGTCATCATAACATGGCTCCTCTATTAACCCTTAATGTTTTTACCAGCATTTCACTGAGAAATCGCAATTAGCAGAGGTGTTTGCTAATTGCTGCTGGCTAGTCTGAAGGAGCTGAGTGGGGAAGGAGCTGCGACTAGAAGGCGGAGCTAAGTCCACCCTGGCATTTTGTGCAGCTGAATGGTTGCCATGGAAATTTTATTATTTCTCAAACATGCATGAAAGAATCAAAGCAACACTCCAGGTATGTTTCTGATCAGGGAATAAAATTATAACATGATGGTGCTGGGGTCAAATGTCATTCAAACAAACATGAGGAAACTGAACCAACCAGTGCAGGCAGAGTGCGCTCCTTTCCAGAAGGGCCCAACTCCGTCACCTGCTGCTCATCCAGCGGCACTCGAGCGCAGGCCATGGCTGCTCCTCTCGGGTTTACTCTGATCTGAAGGGAACAGATTCTGGTGATTTTGTGGAACACTGACTGCATCTTCTGTTGAGAAACCTGTCTGGATGTGTAGACGGAGCTTCACTGACACAAACTTCTTTCATAATTTCATAATTATAATTTCCATCTATCTGGATTTACCCCTGCTGGCTTCTTCTGGCGCAGAATTATAACACATCTAACGTCAATCGTATTAAAGTCGAATAAAATGCGACATGCAGACTGCAGACACACTCAGTTATGTATTGGATTTAGTTCCACTTATGGAAGAGGCGTAAATTTGATGCATTTAATTTTTTGGGATGAAAAGATTGTAATTGGGCCGTTCAGACTCCTGTGAACAAGTTGGATTTGGGTTGCATTTACCTGCAGTGTGAAAATAGTATTCTTTTAAAGTACACCTTTTCCAACTACAGCTGACTGTGAATTACTTTCTATACACTAAATGAGAGGCACACGGTTGCAATAACACACATTTTCTCTCTGGTTGGTTCTAGAAGTCAAAACAGTAACAATGGCCTCCAGGTTCCTGCTTATCGGACCTCAGATTCCCTCATAAAACATCAAATGAAACAACAACTCACCACCAGTTCTGATCAATTGAAAAGAAACAGGAAAATATTTTAAACAGATGCAGTTTCATGTTGAATGTTTTTGCTTTATTCTGGAAATGTATCATATTATTGATGCATAATGGAAAATATGCCAAATATCATATATTTTTGAAATACTCTACAGCATCCAACTGCTGTCTGTCAGACTAGACAGACAGACAGACAGACAGACAGACAGACAGACAGACAGATAGATAGATAGATAGATAGATAGATAGATAGATAGATAGATAGATAGATAGATAGATAGATATTCATGTAAACAAATGTATCATGTTTTTTAAAGTCCTGAAGTCTTTAGCAAGTAATAAACTTGTATAATAACAACACAAACAACCATCTAAACTTACACTGACTGAAACACGTCCCTGTTAATTATCAACTTTTACTGTCATTTTGTTGAGTTTTGAATCTAAAAGCTGTTGCCCTTTGAAGCTTCGCTAACCTGTTAAACAGCAGCTACTAATCAATGAAGGAACGTTTCGACCAACCGGCTGCCGAACCGGCGGTTCGGCCGTGAATCGGCGGAAATAACTGCCCGGAAACCAGGCTAAATGAAGCCGCTTACCTCTAAACGCGACACTCTGTGATTCAGTCAAGCCATCTCGACAGATTCGACGCAGTTTTCACCAGTTTCTGTTTCCAAACGTCTCTCACAGACATCTGCGCTGGCCAGGAAATGACGTTGTCTGTTTTTCTTTCAGGTAACGTCTTGCTCGCCCCCTGGTGGCGATCAACGTAGAACAACTGCCGTTTCTGTGTTTTTAATCCGAAAATGTTCTTTCGGTCTTGTTTTTGTTTGTTTTAGCATAACACCGCATTTCATTTGTGAAAATAATATATTTACTTATTAGCAATATTAAATTGTGTGCTATTATTTAGGGCTCCTTAAGAGATAAGTAATAATACAAATTTCAGTCTGTAGGTTAGCGACCAAAATGGTTGCTCGTTCCGTTTTCAGTTTACAGATTCGTGTAGAAACTTTTATTCAATTTTATTTTATGGAGAGCCATTTGGAAGTTAAATGCCATTATAGAAGTATCTTCAAATACCCGCTGTGGATGGTGATGCTGTCAAAGGATCTCCTGTAGCAGTCAGTTTCACAACAAATCTGAAAAGCCTCTGACTTAAGACATCGTCTAAATCTTGGGAAGCATCACCATTCCACTTTAAATTTCTCAGTTTACTGATTACTAAACCTTTTTATAAAATTTGTTCCACCTCAGTTAATTGGAATGTAAAGTACTTTTTAAAAAACACTTTAAAATAAAAATGTCCCTTTTTCACTTAACCTATGGAAGAAAACATCAGATTTGAACGAGGACTCAATGAGGACAAAGACACAACTTTCATATAAAATGTTTTATAAAAAGTTTGTCATGACAGAGAAGGCTAACAATAAACTACATTGCATACAATACTTTGCAAATTATGTTTATATATGAGGGAGTGTTGGAATTGTGACGCTTCAGGACAGGTTTTCTTTAAATGATTGCAGATTCCTGAACTGGTTCAGTGTCCTTACACTCGTTTTCAGTATAGATTTGACATACAGCTAAAACATGTAATACAGCAAGTTTTCATAATCCGCCAACTTAGATCTCCAGTTTTATTCCAAACAATAACGCAAAGACAAACAAAACAAAAGCAGGAAAGGTCACTGCTGCCATGGCTCGAAGTGTAAAGTATAAAATAAATATTTTATGGCTTTAAAAAAATATTAAATACTCCCACACTTCCTCAGTCAGCAGTGATTCTGCAATATAAAGTCAAATATCCCACATTCATCATCCAGGAATTCATTTAAGTTAATATTCTACAGATCTTTCAAATACTCAGTATGGATCTAAGGAACGATGCGAAGGATTTGATCTCAGGTCATTTTGGTTTTGCTGGATTTTTTAATCTATTTCTAGGATATTGGAATATTTTTAAAGGGCCAGCGATGCACCAAACTGGCAGACATTTTCTACAAAAACACTAAACAAATCATATTCCCATGGCGCAAATTGCAACTAAAGTCATCTTAATAATAAACGTAGATACATTAACCGGCATAAAAAACAAGTAGCCAAATATTTCACTTTATAACACTTATTTTAACTTGTTCTTTAAAGGTTTTTAATAACCAGATGTGTCAGTTGTCACAGAACAAAAACACAAAGCATTAAAATCAATAATGCTGCCATTATTGCACATCTCTGGAGTTAATAATGACACACTGTTTGAGATTTAGTTTATAACAATTAAAACATTTTTAAAGGGTTAAAATACCCCATACTACGACCTGAGTGAAGTTGTCTCTCCTACATTCTTCAAATCTAACAAAATTGTTGTCAAATGTTTGTGCTACTTTTGGCTTCAAGATATCAATTAAAGTTAAAAGGTCAACGAACCCTCCCACATCACCCACATCTAAAAAAACGGGTGTCAAACATTTGTACAGTAAAAATTTGTGTTTGTGCTGCTATAATTTTAAAGATATCAATAAAAGTTTCCAGAAGTCATCATCAATATTTTCAAAGGAAAATCATCAGAAATATATTTTTTTCTGCACAAACATAGCCAAGTTTATTGACACCAAATCTAAACTTGACCTCTGGAAACTTTTTTTATTAACATCTTCAAAATGAGAGCGGCACAAACAAAAACATTTGGCTGCACAAACATTTGACACCAGTTTTGTCATATTTGGCTAATATGTGGGCAGACTAGTTGACCTTTATACTTTTTAGGTTTTGTAAATATATATTAAAAAAACAAATTTGCAGCACAAATGCAGCAAAGTTGACACCAAATTTATCTGATTTTGTAAATGAAACGTTTCTATTAATATCTTTAAAATGATAACGGCACAAATGAAACACAAATATAGTCAGATTTGGTTAATGTGTGGAAGGGATGGTTGACCTTTAAACTTTCATTAATATCCTCAAAGCCATAGCAGCACAAACAAAAAGCTTTTGCGGCACAAATGTAGTTTGATTTGAAGTCCTTACATGAACACTACAAACATTTGTCATCTTTGCCTCACAAACGTTTGACACCAATTTTGTTAGATTTGAAGATGACGGAGGACCATCTTCACTCGTGTCTATGATTAAAATTAGTTATAGAGTAGTCAGTATGTGACACGACAGCAGTTTTACCTTCAAAAATGAAAATCCTACTAGTTAAAAAAACTAAACAAAAAAAAACGCTTTTCTGAGGAAATTTTCAGATTTTTGGGATCTAAAAGTTGGAAATGAAGCGATAGCATGTGTTCATTTTGAATAAAAGTAGATAATTTGTTGGGATGGTATCAGCTTTTTTGCTTCTGTCATGTGTGCAATTAATTTCTAGAGACAGAGGCTTTTTTCTACCCTGCTGGACGGCAACTCTTCAGTTGGCAAAGTTAGTGCCATTTCTCTGAAACTTCATTGAAACGTCTTGTTTTGTTCAACCAAGAAGTTCAAATTTTAGATAATTAGGAGACTTTTTAATTGCCTTGATTTAACATTTAATTGATTAGAAAAAGTTTTCTGTTGCTTGTTTTTCAGGCTCAAGTATTTAGATGAAAATAAAATTTTTTGAGAAGTTTCAAGTTACCATAACATAAACATTAACGGAATTTGCTTGATGGGTAACTTGACGAATAAATAAGTTGAGAAAGGTAAACGCAGATAAGATCATAAACTCGCAAAAATGAGAAAACCCCAGAATATGTGAGGTTAAAAATAAAAAAAAATAAAGCATGAGACCACACATATGCACCCTTGATTATACATGATTGAAAAAAAAAATCTAAAAAACTATTTGCAGCTTTTAGAAATGAAGGGCACAGATGGTAAACTGTAGAGAAATGCCACTACATGGGCCTTTTGAAAAAAAAAAAGACATTAAACATCATCTTCACAAAGAAGGATCCATCACTGCATAAAGAAGAAGCGATAATGTTCCAGGATCATCTCGTAGCCCTTCACTGAACTTTTCTCTACTTTTTAAATGTTACAAACAAACAAAAAAATCACACAAAAAATGTTCAAATGGAAGGAATATTTCCACCTCAAAGTCCTTCAAGATTTGTGCTTTTTTGGTATTGTGAAAGCATAAAAAACAAACAAAAGTCAAACGTTCACAGCAGCAGAACCACCGACATTTTTACCTGCAGGAACTTTAACCGATCCCAGATCAGAGGAACGTCGAGGACAAACGAGCAAGAGGAAACAGAGACTTTCAAAAGGAAATGTGATTAAAGAAGAACTGGGTTGATGTTTCAAAACCGTCAAGAGAGGAAAAAAGTTCAAAGGTCATGAACTTTACTGCATGTCAGAGCTGCACAAAAGCAGTCAGTTCTTTTAAATACAGGACTGCGCGTTCCCGCCGCACAATCGGATCCCAGCAGCAGAACTGGGCCCGGTTTCTACCAGAGTCCGGCGCTAGCCCAGCTGGATCTGTCCAGAATACGTGGTGAGGAGTAGCATGATGGCGAAGCCCGTCAGGAGTCCCGCGTTCTGGATGCCGAAGGTGATGAGGAACCTGCTGCCACCAGCGTCCTCATCCTCACGACTCACCTCGTTCATCTCTGGAAACTGAGACAGAAAAAAACAAAAACTGATCTAAATCTTTAATGTAAATCAAAAGGACAAATACCATTCATAAAAATCAAAGAAATAAATCATATTTGCTCATATTTGAAGTCATCAAAAGGCAGTAAGTTGATTGATTGATTGATTGATTGATTGATTGATTGATTGATTGATTGATTGATTGATTGATTGATTGATTGATTGATTGGACATCTGATGGACAAATGTTTGTTCAAACAGTTTTCTAACAATGTCTCAGAAAAATCAACTCCCATGTCAAACCTTTTAATTAACAAATATGACTTTTTTACAGGTTGAAGGACGAGATAAGATAACTAAATATTTAGTTTGAAGCTAAATATTAAGCTTGTGAACCAAATATTTAGTAAGCTAACTAAATATTTGGTTAAGCTTGCTATTTAATCCAAAGCTAAACATTTAGCTTGCTAATTATGTATTTAGTTTAGCTTGTGAAATAGATATTTAGTGAGAAGCTAAGCTAAACATTTAGCTAGCTAACTACTGACCTAGTTAGCAAGCTAAAAGTTTAATGTGATGCTAAATATTTAGCTTGCTAATCAAATATTTTGTTTGCTAATTATTACTTTAGCTTGATAACTGAATATTTAGTTTGAATCCAAATATTTAGGTTGATAACTCAATACTTGGTAAACTAAATATTTAGTTGGCTTGCTGTCAAACTGCACATTAACTGCAAACTGCTAATTAATTAAATATTTAGCTTGCACTCCAAGTTTTCCAATTGAAATATTTAGTTTGAAACTGTGACTTATAAATGACTTCGAAATGCAAACTCACATTTCTTTGCTTATTGCTGTTAGTTTTTAACTGTGTAACTTTACAAATTTCACCACATGCACATTTTCCCATAATGCAAAGCGGTATGTGGGTCAGAAATGGGTTAATGGTCCCGAAGGCAGCAGGGGTAACAGCTGAATGTTTTACTTTTCTCCTAAACGGCTTCTAAAAGCAGAATGTAGCGACTCTTGATGCGGATTTCCATGTTAGCTCACCATGTCTGCCAGAGCGATGTAGAGGAACATTCCTCCAGCCAGAGCAAAGATCCAGTTCGGAGAGAAACTGTTGCCGGCCAGGATCCCGAAGCCCATCCCCAGGTAGCAGCAGCAGGCCGACAGGAAGTTAAAGAACAGCGCCTGCTGGATGCTCATGCCGGCATTCAGGAGGATCACAAAATCTCCTGCAGAGAAGGGAAAGTCCAGCAAAACATCAGCTGGGTTTCCACCAACTTTAAAGAGGCGCAAATTGAAATTATAAAAATGTATTTACTCAATGGAAACACGGCAATTTCAAAAAAGCCTGTGTTTTTGGTAAAAGGTTTTTTGCATTAGTTTGAGATGTTTATTTAGCCACATCTAAAGTTGGGATTTAGGATTTTAAATGTCATTTCTTGTTTATTGGAAACTCCACAACTGAAAAATTGTGATTTTTCAACATTAGTAAAACATCCGCAAAGATTTGCTCATATTTTTTATGAAAACAGCGACAACAGATGGCAAAGCTTCACAGCTAGGAGACAACTTTTAGTTTTCCAGACTCACCGAGTTCGTGTGGGAACTCCTCACAAAGAATGGCCACGGAGGTGCTGATGCCCTGGAAGACCGAGGCGGTGAAGGAGGCGCCGATCGCCAAGCCGTCGATGAAGTTGTGCAGGCCATCGCTCAGCGTGATCATCCAGGCCAGCGTGCCGATGTCAGAGTAGGTCGTTCCCTTCAGCCAGTAGCAGCCGCCGCCTCGGCTGCCCGACCGCGCCGAGGTGTCCGGACTCTCAGACTCCTGGAGAAACGGGAGCAGAGGTGGGTGACCAAACCGAAATGATTCCAGGACGGTTTAACGACTCATTCAGCAGGCGACAAAAGCAACTCCTAAAGCTCTGAAGGCATCAGGTGAGGTCAGAGTTAGTGATTCAGTAATAATAATAAAGAGAAAATGGCCTCCTCTGTAGCATTGCCAAAACATTCAAACCTGTCTGAAATCAATTTAGTGTTTCTCAAAGTGGGAGCCTCAGAAAGACGAAGAAAAATAGAGAAGTATTTTTTAATCTTACATTTTTCATCATAACTTTTGTTTTCTGTTACTCAGTTTTTTCTAGAAAATATAAATAAAAAATACGTAACTTCTTTTCTGATTGGCTGCTAGTCAAATTCATTGAGTGGCTTTGCTCCTCAAGCAAGAAACCAAGAAGTTTCTGATCAGACAGAGCAAAGGAAGCGAATTGTTTAAAGATTGGACAGAGTGACCCATAAAAGGCCGTCTGTGAAACCCTCTAATGTGGCTGGATTAAAATAAATTGATCCGCAATGAGGTGAGATTCATCGCTTGTTATTTGCAGCATAGCAAAGCTAGACTAAATCTGCGCTGTGTTGCCTTTGCAGGAGGATTCAAACAGTTTGTCGTAAAGTAAAATAATCTGTCCTGTTTTACGTCCGATTCCCCACCTGTGGCGTCTGTCCGGGGCTGAGCATGAGCTCTCCCTCCCCGGCCTTGTCCACTTTCTCCTGCGCCACGCTGCCGGCCTCTCCGTTCTGCTGCAGCTTCTCGCCCTCCTCGGCGTCCCCGTCCGGGGCCGAGTAGTGATCTGCGCCGCTGTAGTGACTGTGGCCGTGGCTCTGGGGTTGAGGAGGCAGAAACAAAACACTGTCAACGATTAACGATGTCAAAAGCAGCAGAAACTGATGAACATTTATTAAACCGTCCATGTTGATGATAAAGACCCCAGAGCAAACAGAGAGAAAGAAAAAGTACCTATTTAAGAAATAAAAATATATATTATAATAGACACGTTACCGATACCAATCAATAATACATCTGATAAAATCTTCAATGTTGAAAATGCAGAATATTCTCTGAACTCCGATCCCTGGGATCCAGAATGAGTTGGTGGAATCAACTCACTCTCTCACTCTTTGGTTACCTAGCAATAACTAGTTGAGTAACTTTGCCATCTTTTGCCTCATAACTGCTTAAAAATAAAAATAATGAAAACACCGACAGCGTTGAGAGAAAACTGTGGATAAAAATCGAGGTCACGACACCAGATTGTCATTATTTCAGAGCCTTAAAACAAAAATACTAACCAATAATTATATAAATTTATATAAAACATTTATATGCTCAAGTAAGAGTGAAAAGTACAGCACATAAAATACTCGTAAAAGTAAATTTTTCCAAAAAGTTACTAAAGTAAATGTAGTTACTACCAAACGTTACATAATCCTTTTAGGTTAATTTTTTTTTTTTAAATCGGCACAACTAAGAAAGCACAACATTTCAATGCAGTAAAGAAGTCTGGTTTCCATAGAAAACGCATTTCTAAGTTATTATAGATCTGAAAATAACGCAGTTTTGCCTTGTTTAAAAAAGCTATCTTAATTTTTTCTAGGTTTTTCTTCACTGCAAAAGGATGTCTAAACATGACTGTCAGGTTAACTGGTCTTTCGAAATTCTCCCCAGGTGTGTGTTGTTTGTCCTGTCTGTCTCTGCGTTGCCCTGCGACAGACTGGTGACCTGACCAGGTGACCCCGCTGGAGATAAACAGCAGGACCTCCCCACCCCACTAGAGACAAGGGTGTAACAAAATAGATGGATGGATGGATGTAACAGGAAGGAACCACTAGATGGCGCAGCTGTTTCACAATTAACTCCCTTCTTTTATTCTCACTAAATTTTGTGAATGAAATAAAACTGAATTTATTATCGCAGTCTCAGTTTTAGTCAGTTTAGTTTTTAAAATAGCACAAACAGATTACAAAAAGGCCACAAACCTGAAATAAATTATTTTGTTTTGGGTTAAAAAAATTATAATGTTAAGAATCGTGAAACAAGCCACCATTGTCAAGAGCACGACTAAATATTTACACGAAAAGTTTATCAGAAACAGAAAGAAGAAATTGAGTTACATTTTATTCGTTGTATTGCTCCATGTTATGAGGAGGATTTTTACAAATGATGATTCACCATCTTGAACTTTGAGTGACGTGGAAAAACGGAGCGACGCCCCATTTAAACAAAGGCAATGCAAACAGTCTGTAGAGATTCTGAACATCCTTTTCATCATATCAGTTATTAGAGAGCAAACATCCCGTCCTACAAGTCAAACCTGCTAATCACCTGGTTCTGCTGGTCAGCAGAACAAGTTCAAGGTATTTACTGTAGCATGTCAAGATACCGACACGCCACATGCCATAAACTTTGGCTCGGGAGGGAATGCCGAGCCCTTTGGCTCGGCATTCCCTTGGCAGGTATTTTCATACCTCAACTATGAAAATATATGTAATAAAACTACAGAGCCTTACAAACTGATTCATATACCCTGATCTTTATTAACAATTTGTCTTGTTATAATCTTTAGTGTATTTTATTGGGATTTTATGTGACAACAACAAAAACTTTGAAGTTGAATTATGTACAGACACCGAAGCATTGTTTAAAAAATTTTAATCAAGATAATTGCGAGGTCTGTAGCAATGTAAATGTATTTATTGTTTTTATCCAACCATCAGATTGGTGCAATGTTCAGCTTTCCAGCGTTTCAGTTCCTGATCATTCAGGGAGCTTCTTTAGAAATGCCGACATCAGCGTTAGCTTGTGCATTGAGAGGCTATTTTAGACTTGAATAGCTTCCCAAAAGGCCAACTCCTTTTAGCACATATTGCTGATGAACTTTTATTGATGTTCATCATTAATAAATGATGAACATTTATTTCTGATGAGAAAAACCATCTCATCAGATCGTTTTTTGAAGCAAAAATTAACATCGAGTGGGCCAAGAGAAGCAGCGTTGTTATATGCGTTTGGATTGTTGTGCTAGAAGCAGGCAAATATAAAGGTTTCAGTCGGGACGAATGTACATTAAAAAAACAACAACACAAATTAATTGACTAAAATCTATATAATTAAGTAAAATTAACAGAAGTTAGAAGTCAGAAGTCAGTAGTTATAAGTAGCTTGAAGTTGAGAAATGTTAAAGTGTCAAATCTCAAAGATTCTTGGAGAATATCTGGGGACATGGCAGGCTGCAAACCTGGCTCAGTTTTTACCGGTTCTGTTGGGAAGAATGAGTGAATATTCAAGTAAAACTGTGAGAGGTTAGTTGAAGGTTCATGTAAGTAGAGTCTGCAAAGTGATAATTGCAAGGTGCAGTAGGTGGCACTCTTACATTGTCACCAATGTAGATTTTTAGTCAACTTTGTGGGATTTAGTACATAAAAACATTTCATCTCCTAATTTTAGTAAAACAGAAATATTTAGTTAGACTTAATCTCACACAGCAAAAACAAAGACAAAAGTCCTTTTTATGAAGAGTATGTTCACTTCAGAACCAGCTTTGTCACGTTTGAACCATCTTCGGTTGCAGCATCCAGTAGTTGAACAGAACAAAAGCAGTATTGATATTAACTCACCCCTTGCTTTTGCTTAAGGAGAACCTTGAGAACTTTTTCTGTGAAGAAGAAGAGGTAGAAGCCTCCGAAAACCACGGCTGATTTGGATACGTAGAAGTCCACCATCGGGTCGAAACCGAAGGCCTAATGGACAGAGAATAATCAGTTAATTTGAGGAGATTTTCAGGAGCGTATTCTGTAAACAGGAGTCAATACTGCTGTGTTTTCTTTATGTTTATACAGTTATTGTGTTTCTGGTAAACTTTAGTGTGTCTAGGTTGTGTCTAGGTGAAAACTAGTTTATTTAATTCATAAAATTAATTTTTAATCTCTTTATAAATTGTTTTATTGGGCAGAAGTCCAACAAGAATCCATCATTTAAAGACGGATTCAAAGCTCAGAGTCATTTATCTGGCGCCCTTTGAGCTTAAAGGTGTGCTTTTTTCAGATAACTCAAGGTGCATGAATTCAAATAGTTGCACAACTGCGTATTATGTTGGTTGTGTGTACAGTTGAGAAAATGTTTGACAGGATTTGAGTCTTAATCCTGCCCACTGAACATACTGTAATGCCATAAACTGCAACAGAAATTACAGTTAAACCCATAATTATTCACAGGCAAATATAGGTTTAAATTAAGCTTTTAATTTTACTAACATGCTTTTTTTATTACTGGAGGTGATTTTCACATTATTACAGTGTCTTCCAACTTTAATCTGATCGATAATCTGTGGGAGGAATTGAAGATTAGAGATAGAAACTTTGAGCTCATCAACAGAGGTAAATAATCAAAACACGAGAGCAAATGTACAAAAATCTGGTTTTAAATTAGGATCTGATTACGCTAATGCTAATTCAGATTGTTTTTTACTTTAAGAATAAAATATGAATTAAAACAATTTTATTTATTTATCTTTTATGCTCACATTTCCCTCTAGAACAGGTCGGCAACCCACGGCTCTGGAGCCGCATGCGGCCCTTTAGCGCCGCCCTAGTGGCTGTTTTCAAAATGTTTGAAAATGGAAAAAGATGGGGGTGGGAAATACATTTTTTGTTTTAATATGGTTTCTGTAGGAGGACAAACATGACACAATCATTCCTAACGTTTTCCAGTGCTATAAAAATGTGTAGAATAAATATTAAATTTCAACATTTCTGTCAACGAAGATTTGCGGCACACACTTAATGGCGATTATTTACAAAGAGCAATCATTCTTATGCAAACTGCATTTGGGAGGAAAAAGTTAAGAAAGGAAAAAAAAGGCCCTTTTCCTGTCGATCTTCATAATAAAAATGACATCAAAAATCAGATTTCTTTATTGTATTTAATTTTATCACTGCAACAAAACATAAAACATTAACATTGTAACGGAACGTAAAGCACCATTGTATAACAGAATAGTCACGTGGTGCGTCATTCCTTCCAGGACGCACTGCAGGTTAAATAAACATTTAATCACGAATGCCAATTATGAATCACTTAGTCATTTTGATAACAGGCTAAAATAGCTAATATAAACACTTAAAGCATATTTTGCCTTCATTGTAAGCCTTTTACAAGACTTTTGATTTTTTGCGGCTGCAGACATATTTGTTTTTTGAGTTTTTGGTCCAACATGGCTCTTTCAACATTTTGGGTTGCCGACCCCTGCACTTTTTTTGGTTGAAGGAAACAAATTTAAATCTAAATCTTCAAGAGGTGTGAGTAATTTCTGGCCCAATAATAGATTTTTGGCTTAAAGCAATAAACTATGTTTTAGGAATGTAAAGTGTCTTGGTTTTACACTGTGAGCTGGACTTAAAGCGGATTAAGAGCCTCTTAATGCCAGCCCACTAAAGAGGCTTTAAAGCTTCACACAAAAGAGGATGAATTCAGAGTGTTAGGCTTCCTCTGACATCTTCACTTAGCTTTTGTTTAATGTAAGCCAGTGAATAACTACAACAGGCTTTGAACTGGCCGATAGCCTCCAGTCTCATCGCCAAATAAAACGGTAAAAGTAAAATTTTAGAGTTTTATTGCATCATAACCGACACATCTTTGAGCGGCGCGGTTCAGACGCCTGATCCGATCACACCCAGGCTCGGTTAAATACATGTGTGAACGCGCTAAAGGCAGATTGAAGATGGCATGGATCAGAACACCTTCAGAGATCTTCTGAGACACTTTTATCTGCAGTAGTTTAGCTTAGCCGTCTGAATACAATCTGCTCTCAGCCACGCTAAAACTATGCTGCATAACATTACAGACAAATGTTTTTTTTTATTCTAAATTCAAAATGTGTGTATTTTGTAAAGTTTTGGCTTAATTACTGCACAAAGTGCCTTATTTTTTCAGTAAATGGCATTTTTTGAGTTTGTATACTCCAGTTAAAGATTAATCGATTGCTAAATTGGCAATTGATTATCATTTGAATAATCGACAAATTATGATTAATCCAATTAACCGTTTCAGCCCTACCGCATTCAATCAGTATTTCTATAAATTTATTGTTGCAAATTCATCTACCAAAGCATTTTTGTGTCTAATGTGATTTAACCCTCATACTGGTGTTTTTTTTTGGTGATTAATTAATCTAAAAAAAGTACAAAAATAAATTCTTATAGTAGAAACTCACATAGAAAACAATACCAAACAGTAGTTGAAGCAGGAAAAACCCAAGAAATTTCCAGGTGGATGAAATGATGTAAAATCAACAGAGAATCTTTGTAGAAAAATGAAAATCAGCCCTGAGGTATGTAACTCTACCTCGGGGATGAGCTGAAACAGGGCGTTGGAGTAGAGCGTGCCAATGGCCAGGGCTATGAAGTAGAGCAGCAGCCGCTTGTAAAAGGTTTTCTTCATGAAGGGAACCACGCTGGCCCCGATCAGCGAACACAGAGAGATCAGTGTCACACACAGGAGCCCATAACCCCAAACTGATCAACAGAGCAGAAAGGAAAGACAAGGACAGACAGTTAGTGATTATCTTATCTGATTGATTATCATGGTAAGGATCACCAAACAAACATCCCTGGAGGACAAAGAATTAAACAAGAAGCCCATTATCCAGTGGGAATCTGCCCTGAAGGTGACTATTTACCTTCCTGTGAGGCAGCGTTTGAAACCCATCCATTTCCTTCACAGAGGAATCCTTATTATGCATACAGAGACATTGTTCCAGGCTGCTCACTGTATGGATACAGGGGGAACCTGAGCAGCGTCACCTCGAACAAAGAACATTAAGGCAGCTGCACTGGAAATACTTCATGTATTTATGTGTGTCTGGTACAAGGGATGCACAATTTGTCAGCCTGAACATCAGCATCGGTGGATGTTTGTCGTTTTTTAACATATTGGTGTTGATAACTAAAACTTGGGCGATAATAACAACCGATGTTTATTTCTATTTGGGAAAATAGAGTCCTTTTGACACAAAATTGAAAGGTTTCAGAAATGTACATGCTGCATTTAATATCAGTTATCTGTCATAAGAGGAATATTAATATCGAATATCTCTGGGGAGATCAGTGCGTTCCAAGAAAACACTACAATTTTCTGTTTATATTGGGGCAAAATATGATTTATTTGGTCTTTACTGGACTAGTGAAACACCAGACTAAATCTGATGAAGACCAGATACATTTAAGTGTATATATTTTATTTTGAATGTTCATGTAACGTCTACACAGATACAAAAAGCATGTCAAATATCAGGTAATGTTAAGAAAAACCACCATCAAGAAACAAAAGCAGAAAGAGGAAAACCACCAACGAGAAACCTGATCAAAAGAGAAACAAAGAATGAAAGACTCAGACATGTTTTTTAGCTTTTTTGCTTTTGTTTGTGCTCTGAAAAGTTTTGGATGTGTAGAAAGGTGTAAAAGATGTGCGAATACAGCCAGCTAGCAAACCTCGGGTATGAGCTGCAGGACGGCTGTGGAGAAGAGCGTGCCAATGGCCAGAGAGATGAAAAAGTTCAGCGCATATTTCATGCAATTCGTCTTCATCAGAGGTACGACGGCAACTCCGGTGAGAGAGCAGGCATTGATCACAGTCACGCTCAAAAAAGAAAAACCCCACACTGCATGAGGAATAAAGAGGAGCATTAACACACCGAAATTACATCTAGTTTTCAGAAATGTGTTTTAGAAAGTCCACTTTTTTCCAAATTAAAATGGTTTTGAATATTAGCTGTTGACCATAAAGGCTGGAGAAGAAAAAATAAATAAACGTGATAAAATACCAACAATACAATGTCTGAAAGGTAAAAAAACAGAAAACATTAAATATAAACTACAAACAAATAATTAAACCTGCAAAAACAACAAAAATATTAAGAAAAATCTGCTTTTTTATCCAAAGTTGTTGCATCTGTACAGTTTCTCAAATAAAATGTGAATGGGCTCTTTGCAAATCAGGGGAAAGCGGCTCCGTCTATTAAAAATGGCATTTTACTTTCTTTAAACATCAACATTAGCTTATGCAAGTAGGCAATATTTTCAGACATTTTCATTATAAAAATCCTACTAAAGCATCCAAACATTTTAACTCATTCTAACGGACAATGTTTTTACCTTATTTTGTATTTGTTTTCAAGTATATTATGTGTGTTTATAGTGTTAAACAGAGACCAAGTAATGTGGGAGGTTACGTTTTTGGGCTTTTTGCACGGCTGAAACGTATATTTATGGCTCCTTTATTTTCACATAGAGTTCTGTAAATAAATTAAAATGTCCACATGTTAAAACAGAGATAGCTGAAGCATGTATCTAACCATGACATCTGCCTCGGTGCTGCTGGGAAATCTCTGCAGGTTCTGAAAGGGAAAACTGCTAAGGAGCCAAAATAAGCTTCTCCTAAGGGGGTGAGGCGAGGTGAGAGCGGCTGAGGAGGAAAAACAAAACTCTGTACAGAGAGAGGCCAAACTCTTTTTCTCACCTGTTGAATGATAAGTACAGGACACTTTTCCCACAGCAAAGTTCAAGCACTTCCAAGGTAAGTTTTGCATTTTCAAAGTGAGTTTTCAAACTTTACATATAAAAATACGTATTAACTACAAACATGGCATAATTCATCACAGTCATTACTAATATTTTGTCATGGCATCCTACAGCAGGGACAAGTTAAACTAAAATGTTATATTTTGGAAAGTGTCTCAACTGTTTCTCATCTAGTTAGATACAAAAGAATCTAAAGATATTCTCACTAACAGACCCAGCTAAATCTAACAGACCTAAAACACCAGACGTGTGAGAAAATAAATGGTATTATCTTTCCAAATCCAGGCTTTTAATCAAACATTAGATTGCACTTTATTTAAAAAAACAAACTTTGGGGTTTGAATATCAAGCACTTTCAAGTTTTTATATAAAATCAAGCACTTTCCAAACCTTGAAAACGCCTACTTTCCAGGATCTCAAGCACCAGTAAATAGATCCAGTTTTACAACCAGCTGCAGAAATCTAAGTAATTTCACTCTTATAGACGTCCTCTGCAACATTTTCTGCAGCTGAAAAAGTAAAACAAGGTCTGTGTGATCAACAACAACCGGCAGAGGCCTCTCTATTTTCAGTATCTACTAAAAACTACTTCCAAGTCTTTCAAGGACGTCCTGCAGGCTGTGTTCATGCAGCACTATGGATTGAGTTATAGTGACTCAACTGCTGACGAAAGATGACCACTTCATCTGGATTAGATCCATACTGCACCATGGATATGCAGGTGAAGCGTTATTGGTGAAGCTGAAAGGTGATAAATACACTCTAAGACTAGAAAGTAGAACATTTGGGGGATGGATAATTTCACTTTAAATGTGCTTAAATGTCTAAAAATAACAATGAAGGTGCTAGAAAAAAGTTAGAAATTACACAACAAAATGTATATGCAGTCAATAGAGTCATTTATAAAAATATAACAGAAAAGAAAAAAAAAGCTAAACCACTAAACCCATTAAAAAAAAGAGTTAGCTGAAACTAAGGCTAACCTGCTAAATACATAAAAACCATTAGCAGATGCTAAAACTAAACTAGTGAACGGCTAAGTACATAAAAACATCAGCAGAATCTGACACAAAACCACTAACCACATAAGATTAGCAGAAACTACCACCAAACTGTTAAATATATTAAAGTATTAGTAAAATAGCAAAGCTACTGCTAAACCACTGAGCAATAAATTAGCATAAGCGACTGCTATACATAAAAGAATCTTTAGCGTATGCTAAATAATTAGCAACAGCTAATTCTTTTCTGCTAACAAAAATCTGGTTTTTGTTTTGTTAATGTACCAACAACTAATCGAAAAACCACAAACCTAAGATGCTAAAACCACGACAGAATCATCAGAAGATAATGCAAAACCACTAACCACATTAACATTAAGCAAATTAGTTGAAGCTAATGCTAAATCACTAACCACATCAAAAAAGTGGCGTCTCAGCTTGTGACGACTTGAGGGATAAGCATGTTAACTTTTATGATTTTTCCCAGTAAGACACTGCAGTATTATTCTCACCTTCTGCATCTGAAGGCCTGGGGGCGGGGTCAGTGTTTAGCTCCTCCCCCTTTTTTATCTTGCAGGTGCCAGCGTCCAGCTGCTGCAGCATGGTGGGGCACAGCTTCTGGAGACCCGGCCCGTCCAGCCGTGACTGCTCACTGATGCTGTAAATGGCCAGTGTGTCTGCAGGCAAGCACTGGGAAAGCAAACATTGGAACCAATCAATCAGAACGGAAAAAGCACAAACCTCCTGCTAATTTATTAACATCTTTTCATCAAATACGACTTTCAAGAGTTATTTAGATATAATCAAGAGGGAATCAGGTTTCAAAGTAAATACAGGTTTTTGTTTTTTTTAAAGTACCAACCACTAATCGTACATCTATCTGTGCTAAGCCTGTTTCAATAATCCAAAAAACAAACGTGATAATTTCCATTTGCATGATTGTTTTTCTTTTGTTTCTCTCTTTTCCTAAAAAAGACTGGATGACAAAAGTCTTAAGTTTGGTGCTTTGCCCTCAGCTGGCTCAGTTTACAACTTTGTTTACAGAGACTTCATAATGAATCTTATTTGTTGTTTCTGTCATTTTGTTTATTTATTTTGAATATTTAAATGTTTTCCGGTGTCTGCTTCATCTTTTTGAAAACACAGTTACAAAATCACTGCAACAATTTAGAAAATGAACAGAATATTTGAGCCATGAGTAAAATCTGCATACATTAGTTTATTTTGTGTGAGAATCCTCTGCAACATTGCATAACTGTTTACATGTTCCCATTTGCTACCATATTATTTAATCTAGAAGGACAGAAGGTTATTAGACAAGTTTGAGAATAGTTTCTAGCAGTTTCTGCAGATGGCTCATATTTGATAGCTTTACAGTCAAAGCATTGCTTTAACCTGTGACCTTTGACCAAGCAACTTTGATGGAGTTGCTTGGTTAAAGGTTTATGTCTTGTTCCTTGAGGTGCCCACCTGTTCAAACAAAAGACCTGCTGGTTTCTATTACCTTATTCCATTACAGCAAAACCCAGGCGGGAACAAAACGAAGCTTTTCCTCTTTTTCCAAGAACTCAACCTAAATCAATTCAAAAGCAGATCAGCATCCGTGACACTAAGTATGGGAAGTATGAAAACTATGCCTGATTCTGCTCCGACACAAAGCTGGGGAGCAAATCACTCCTCTGCCTCTGAGATGTGAAAACAAAGGAGTAGCTTTAGTTTTATTGGTGCAAGCAGAGATCAGATCAGAACCACATGAAGCAAAAACTGAACTTCATGTTGGAAGAAAAACCTGCAGAATCTTCCAAACGCAAAACGTTTTTCCAGAAGTTATTATAATAAACGATAACAAAACAACAGAAACAACAAATAAAATTAATTATGAAGTTTCTATAAACAAAATTGTCCTTTAAAAAATGTTTAGTTGAGACCAAAGCACCAGACTAAACACTTTTATCATCCAGTTTTTGGTAGAAAAAGGGAGAAAAGAGAAAAACAATAAATCATACAAATTAAAATTATTGAGTTTGTTTTAATTTAATCACACAATTGATTTATTTGTTGATTATAAATAGAAAAATTGGTCATATATTTTTACAAAGACAGGCATTTTAATGCGTTAATTTAGATTAATTGTTCACCTAGATTCTGAAGTGTTAAAAATTTTAACAGCATCGAGATATAAAAGATTTTTTTAAAAGTCAGACATTTTAATTCAAATGAAACAACTAAAGTGAAAAAATATATTTATCTAAATTGTGTTTTTGTTATATTTATACCTCTTTTAAGACCTTACATTTTGTGTATATTATAATTATAATTACTTTGTCATATTTTCAAATTTCCTGTTAAGCATTTTTTCAATCAAAAGCAGGCTTAGCAAGTTTTCTGGGGGAAACCCTGAATCTGTTTAACCGTTTATATTGTTTTGAAAATGTATCAATAGAACAAACCTGCCAACTCACCAAAGATGCTGGAAAATATTTAGCTTCCTAAGATTTTCGTTTCAAGTGTCTTTTGAGTCGTTGTGACCTACAATCCTGACACATCGTAAAAATTCACTGAGTAAATATGACCAGCCATAAAGAACAGTTCGTACCTTGGAGCTGTTTGTTTTGGGTGGTATAGCTGTCGTCGTCGCCGCCTCATCTCGGCCGTCATTTGAGCTTTCACTTTGTCTCTGACTCAGCAGCGCCAGGAGCGAGCGCAGCTGAGGCACCGTGATGGTACTGTTGTCTCCGTAGCGGGCCAGCAGGTCCTGCAGAACCCGGGCAGGTGACTGTGTGTCGCTTTGCTCCTGACACGTCACCTGGCCGACCGCGCAGAAGAGCAGCACGGCCACCGCCAGCAGCAACACCGGCTGGGAGCGGAGGGAGGTGATCGTCATAGTGACCCTGCCATGAGGAGACCAGATGGGCATGACTTCTTTAAAAGATGGTGGGTGTTATCTGCAGGCAGGAAACAAACAATGAATCACAAAAGCTACATCAGTCCAACTGAAAGACATAAATGAACATATATTCTGTTATAAGGTGACCTATTATGCTCCTTAGACAGGTTGCACAGTGCAGTAAAATAATTAATTGGATTAACTGTGATGATTAGTTAGTTTGCATAAATTTATATATTTTTTTACAAAAGTCCTAACTGACAGTATTGCCCATCTGAGACTGATCATTAATATGTTTTCAATATATCATTTTTAATATATACCATTTTGTTTGGCTGAGACTTCACAATCCATTTCATTTATTGTTGCAGTTGTTTTGTAAATTTTGGATATTTAAAATGTTTTCAAATTCCAGTGTTAAATGTTCTTTAGAAATTATAGTTTAAAATTAAAGTTTTTTGATCTTTGAGAAGGCCGAGTTGCATTACTCTGCCTTTATCTTTATATTAGTTGAAAATGACAATATTATCCTTTATCGTAATAATTTATCTCCAAGCTAAATTTGACAGGCCTATATATAATCAAAAATAATATCAGTAATCAGCAATGACACATTTTTATATCTATTTATTATCAATTTTTCTTCATTCAAAACCTAATTTACCAAATATTACTAGATTTTTAAGACCAGACATAAAGAGTGATGTCTTTTCTATTGAAATATTTTTCACCATGTAATTATGTTCAACATGATTAGATTACAGTTGATGATATTCAGGGATCAGTAGAGCTAGAAAGGCAACAGCAGCTCGAATTACGCTCCTTAAAACTTTTAAGGGACGTTGAATCCTGATGGAAGTTTTAGATGAGTTGCTGAATCCAAGGCGGCTCTGAAAGCAAATGGGTCCCAAAATATCTTCACAAAACAAAAACGGGTGCATCCACTTCCTGATGCCAAGTTTGACGCCAAGATTAAATACAAAACCAGCTTTTCTGTTGGAGAAATTGTGATATTATTAATCAATTATTTGTTATTCTCATTGATCTTTATAATGTATCTTTATTTTATGCTTTCCTTTAAGTTAATCTCATTATAGAATTAAGAATGTTTCTTGTATTGTTGATTTACTCTGATTCCTTTCTCAGAAGGCCTCACTGACAGAGAGCAGAAACAAAATCTTCCTGCAGGTTTACCTCTTGGTGAAGAGCTCTGCTTCGGTTGAGTTGCTGGCCTCCAATAAAACCATCATTGCTAAGATCACTACATATTTTATTAATCTTTGTGCCTGGAAGGAGATTATCTAGTACAGAATGATTGTGTGTTAGTTAGTGAATAACATTTGACGCTGTAGCTGTTTTCCCCCTCCCTTTAGAGCTACAGCGTCCTTGTGATTAGGGATCCTAGAAACAATAAAATAGAGGAGCAGACAAAATATGCTTCAGAGCGGCAGGAGATTGTAACTGAAGCACATCTCTGTCCGTTCTCCTCGCGAGTGAAAAAGAATCTAACTCTTTTGTCTTTTCTGTCTTTGTTAATGTATGTTTAACAGGTGTTAACCCTAACATTTTCTGACCCTTATTCATTTTAGAGTTGCCTGGAGACGTAAATGTAAAGCTGGGCTAACAGAAACATTCATGTTTGTGCCTGGGATGAAATGCTCACCTTTTCCCTCTGGACTCCCTGATGGTAGCTGCTACGTAAAGTGCTTGATTCAGTCCGTCTGGCCCGAGGCTGCGACCACGCAGAGCGATGCCCTCCGTTTACCTCGTAGCCGAGACGGAAAAACTGCCTGAAGGGAGCGGATGTGTCCTCAAGACAGAGCTGGACTGTAATAAAAGAGATAAATATTAAGGTTAGAAGGGAAAAAAGAAAAAGCAGAGTCAGAAACATGAAATTTGATTCAACCCACTCATTTTTTAAATCCTCTATAATGATCAAAGTTAAGGATTAAGCCATTCCTGATCTTTTCCAAAACTGTAGTGAGCATTCCTTTGTACCCAGTAATTTTAAAAGGGAAGGTCACTTCGTTTCCTGATGTTGTACTCCAGACAGAGAAACATTACAGCCACAAAAATGCAGTTTAGCTTCAGTGAAGAAACACAGTAAACTGCAAAACTATCACATTTCTGACGGAGGCCAAAGAAAGCAACAATCAAAAAGGCCTCCTTTAACAAAAATAGCTTTTTCTTTTTAGCATGTTTCTAAAAACACAACACATCATTAACTGTCTTCCCTCTTTCTGGATACCATTTTAAAATGCACTTTCTCAATTGAAGGGAAAAGTAGCAGGTAAGGAACAGAGACTTTGTTACCGGCAGATTACAGGAAGCACTTTGTGCATTCTGGAAAGTAATCGCCAAGTTGAGGAAAACCAACAAGTAACAATTTTCGACAGAGTACTAAAGCCAGAGTAGATAGGGAACAAAAAGAGGAGTAACTTTTAACTGAAAACTCAGAAATATTGAGATTATTCCGAGAAATTTTTGAGAAAAAAAATTCTAGAACTTTTAGAGAAATTTCTGAGCTCCAAAAGTTGAACATTTTCAAAAATAAAACAAATCTTTTGAAAAAAAAAAAAAGATTGGAAAATTTTGAGGGAAAAAAAAGGATATTATTTTAAGATTAATGTCAGTAATTTTACAGAAAAAAACTCAGAAATTTCTAAACTCCAAAAATTAAAACAAATTTTAAAAAAAAAAGCAAATCAGATCCAGTTCTGTGAGCTTAAAACACATGCATACATTTAAATGCATGAATCCACTGAACATTTAAATGTGAGCGTTTCACCCATATTAAGTCCTGCACTGGATTTGATCAACAAGGTTTTCTTTTCTTAACTTGTTTCCACATTTTTCTGGGCTGAACAGCAACTTGACTGTCGTCTTCGATTACTCCACCCCTCTGAATCGAACTGTCTACAAAAATCATTACGTTCCTGTTGATCCAATGGAGGCTTAATGTAATAAGAGGGAATAAAGACGAAAACTCAAAGAGGACGAAAAAAAACCATCATAAGCCTCCTTATCCTTTACTTTCTACTTCTGTATCTCCAAGTATTTGTGGTTTCATAATCGAGCAAAGAGTCGGAGGGTTTGTTACTGGCAGCTGTTGTTGTTCAGGAGAACGGGAAGCTAAAGGGTGGAGAATTATGCTGTAACAATTGATCTATCGAGAGACTAGAAACTGCAAACAACTCATTGAGTGAATAATAGGCTAAATATCTCTGGCAAGAGATTCAAGTGTATTGAAGGTAGTGCCTTAAAATAAAAATCTCAACAACTCACTAAACCTTGAAAGTAAAAAGTCTAAATCCTGTTTTTAATCGCCTCTGAATGAATGAAACTAGAGAAAGTGACGATCGTCATGATCTTTTGGGCGACTTTGTCTCCAACAGCTAATTTATGCTACCATCTTGAAGCGATTTAATATCGTAGAAATAATTCACATTACCAATTAATGCTGCTTTTAATAAGCAGCCTGAACTCTGACTGCAAAAACACAAAATCTTACCGAGTATTTTACTTCTAGTGCAAATATCTAAGTTCACTTGAAATGAGGCAAAACTAACCAGCACTGAACTTTTCAGTAAGATGTGAGCTTACTGAAAACTCCTCAATATTGATTTAAAAAAGACTTATAACAGGACATTTTTCCAACGTTATAAGTGAAATTATCTGACAATGAAACTAGTAACTTTTCAGGAATTATTGACTCAAAACAAGCTCTTATATCTTAAAGGTTACTTGTAAGTTAGCGTTGTCTTATTTCAAATGTACTAAGATATTTGGACTAGGTAAAAAATACTTGATAATATTTTGTGTTTTTGCTGTGACTTGAGTTTCTAATATGAATAAACACAAAGTGGCTTTATAACCAATATAAGTTGGTTATAAAGCCAAACAACAATCTCATGGATTAAAAAACAACAACATCTGAGGTCCTTGTAGAAGTGAAGTAACATCTCTTTCCTCTTCCACATTCCTTTTTTTGATGTCTGTTACACAACATACTGGAACAAACTGGAGTTCAAGTCTATTATCATAATCATCATAAAGCAATACAAAGATCATTAGTACAGCATAAATCAGATGTCCTCAATTTTAACAAGGCTTAATAAGATGAAGAAATGCAACCAGTTAATTTTGGTCAATATGAAATGTACCCAACCGATTCCAACTCATTATGACGTTTTGTTTCTCAAAGAACTCGTTGGGAAAGATTTTTAAAATTTACTGCAGCTTCAGAGGGGAAGAATGAAATCTAAAAGAAACCACAAACACAGAAACATGTGGCTCAGTTTGAAATGATATCCAGAGGAACTCTGATGTCTTCCTCTTTCACTTCGGCAATTCGGTTCTCTTCGTTCTTAACCCATTATCAAAGGTCACATGATTGGAAAGGGGAAGATTTGCATTGGAAATTGGCAAAAGACAAGAAAATACTTTTTTAAGCCTGTCATGTTAAAACATTTTGCTGGATGATAAAACATCCTAAAAATTATTGCATTAAATGATAATAATGTCATTTTGATACCATTTTCAAGTAATATAACATAGTAATACTAACATAAACTCTCAAAGATAAAAAAAATCTATAATTTCTAAAGAACATTCAGTACGGTAACTGGAAAACATTTTAAATATCCAAATAGACCCGTCACAAATTGTCCCAAGAGTTTTTTCAATAAACAATAATATTGTTGTTTTGAGATCATTTTCAACTGATATAATAGAAATGACTAAATACACAAGAACACATTCACAAAGATCAATAAATTAAATCATAATAAACACTTCAAACATTTTAAATATCCAAAATATTTAAGCAAAACAACTGAAATAACAAATAAATTAATTATAAAATCTCTCTAAACAAAATTATTCTTCCAAAAAGGTTTAGTTGAGACCAAAACATCAAACTTTTACCATCCAGGTTTTGATTGACAGAGAAAAACAATAAATCAAGCAAATGGAAATCAATTTACCATGCGATTAATTGATTGCTTTCTGCAACAGGCCTAGTTTTGCCTTAATTTCTGCTCCGAGTTGTGACGCTGCCTGGATGCCAAACCTGCTCTTCAAGTCTTTATTCTTGGAAAGTCACTTGATTATGACATTTTATTGCGCTGAGTCCAGAGTCGCTGTGAACTCAGAAAAACGGAGAGAAGCCACTGACTGATAAGCAGGTCAGACTGGATCAGACTGGGACTGCTATCACCAGCAGGAAATGACAACTTCATCGTCTAGAAACTGAGAATGAGGAGTTGACAAATTATAAATAGTCCAAAATTCCCACATGCAAGCTCGCATGAACTCACTCCAGTCATTATCAGCTTCATCAGCTGACTGTGCAGAAAAACAACCTGGACGTCTGAGGTGGGGCTCAGCAACAAACATCAAGCAGGAAACCAAAGAATACGGAATGAACAGTATGAAAAGGTTTGTAGTTACTCTCACTATGCAACAAATTCCCTTTTTTAAGTTTCACCACTAAGGTCAAACTTAAATGTTTTGAGATCGTTTTCAAACTAATATACACAATCTCAAAGATCAATAAACTTTAAATTCTAATGAAGATTCAACAGTGGAACTGGAAGACATTTTAAATATCTAAAATAAACAGACAAAGCAACTGAAACAACAAATAAGGTGAATTATGAAATCTCTCTCAACAAAGCACCAAACTGAAAACTTTATCATCCAATTTCTGGTAGAAAGAGCAAGAAAACAATAAATGATTTATATGAAAATTAGCTCGTTTTATCATGTGGTTAATTGCTTTATTGCAACAGGCCTAACATTAATTTTAAAAATTAGTAGCTCCACTGGCAGATCATTTCAATTATAACTAAACATTTTTCTCATGTTATAAGTGAAATAATCTGCAAAAGTAACTTGGACAATATAATCTACTTATATCAAGCTCCTTTTTGTCTCAGAGCACCAAGATATTTGCAGTGGAAACTAGGCCAAAAATACTTTAAAATTTTGTGTTTTTCCATCATTTGTGCATTCCAGTTTTAATTGCATTCTGCAGGAACAAGAATAGCCAGCTCGTGGTCACAACTCTCTTTCTGCAGCTACAGCTCAGACATCTCTCTGTTCCTAAAGTGCAGATTCATAAAATTGTCTAAAAAGAGTCAGTAGCCGAGATAATCTTCTTTCTCATTCGTTTGTTCGATTATAACTCTGAAGGTGTCCTTCTTGTAAACAAGCAGCGGAAACGAGGACTCCTCCAGCATCGGGTTTCATTTCAGCTCACTGAACTTTAAGTCTTCTCAATCTCAGCTACAACCGTGCCAACACTGAGACTAAGAATCAATTAAAAAGGCTGGAGAGGAGATTCACACAGCTTTACTTTTAGGTAATAATAGTGCGCTAATGTTCACTTAAAACTGTTTAAGTGCTGTCAGTGTTCCTGGCAAATTAATTACATTAATTTTGTTGCAGCGATTTGCTTTTATGATCTGGCTGATCAAAAAACGAAATGACCAAAAGTCAAACAATTAGACCTCCAAGACTGAATAACTAGAAATTAAAATAAATACAGATAATGAAACAGGCTGCAACTTTTCTCTCTCTTAGTCCTAATAAATGCAAGTGGCCAAATTTGTACCATTCTGAACCTACACTGCAAAAACAAAATGCTCCAAAGAAACTTTGGTCTGGAGCAAATGTCTACACTTGAAATAAAAGTAAATTAACTTACAAATAAGTTTTCAGCAAGAAATAAAAGCTTATTTTAAGTCAATAATTTCTTAGGTTAACTTTTTTTAAGTCAACTTAAAAAGTACTAGACACATTGGCAGATTATTTCACTTCTAACAAGACATTTTTCCCATTTTATAAGTGAAATAATCAGCCACTGGAACTGGGATGACTGACTTAAAACAAGATCAAATTTCTAGATGAAAAGTTCCCTGTAGGTTAGTTTCATTTTAAGCGAACTAAGATATTTGAAATAGAAATTAGACCAAAACTACTTGGTAAGATTTTGTGGTTTTTCATTGTTACTGTTACAGTGTCTAATAATTGTTAATGTAATGTTACTTCACCTTTAAGGAACAGAAACCAGAAACCTCCTGACTCCCTGCTGTCGTCTCCACCAAACTGATCAGCTTCGTCCTCTGAGGATTCATGTGTCTCATCTCGATTTATATTCAAGTGGAGAGCAGAGCAGAGCAGGCTGATTCATCAGCCTAAACCTGAGACCCCTAATTACCACTTCCCCCATTTCTCAGCCTGTTCCACCTGGAAACCCATCATTAGATGAGGCAGTGGTGTTTGTGTCAGCTCATTGTCTACATCCTGCACACAGCAACTCCTGTCCAGCTGAAAATTAAAGGTTTTAGGAATGACTGTGGCTAAGTGAAGCGCTCACTTTTACCCCCAGGCCAGCTCTTAGGTCAGTAAGGCAGGTAATGGCAGCCACTGAAAATCCACTGATTTGTACTTTAGTCAATTTTTCAGCTACTTTAAAACAGGGACAGGGAGAAGTAGGTAATAGTTTTAAAGTAGGGAGGCACAAATATAAAAATTTCAGCCAATTTCTAGCAAATCTTCACCATCTCAAATATCCAATAATAATATTTATGTTTTGGGTGATAACTGATATTTACTAATATATTTCTCAACTGTTTTGACATCTTTGGAAATAAAAATGACAAGAATCAAGAAGTGATTCTTTAAACAATGTGGAAATAAATACCAATTGTTGATTTTGACCTAGTTTTAGTGATCGGGCCGATGCCAATACATAAAAAAAAAGACCAATTTCAGTTGAGACCAATGTATCGTGCATTAATATTTTAAACATACAATCTACAGTGGTCAACGTGTGAAGCAAACACATGAATGATGCAAAACCCAAAACTAATGCAAACAAAAAATCTTGTAGTCATAGAAATTAGAAGCAAAAGAAAAAGTGCTACAAATAGCAAACAAAACAATGCTGTTGGTTGAAAGAACGACGTAATCAGAACAGCAATTAAGCCAGAACTATTAAAAAATATAAACATTTTGCATTTAAGATGAAAAACCTTCCTCGTCTGTGAATATGTTTTACTAAGAACTCCTTAAGTGGGACAGTTTTAGCTTCTCCTGGTTCTAAGTCTAAAAATGGTACCTTTTGCAACCAGTTATTAATCCAAAAAAATAAACACATTAGTGTTTTTTTAGCTGTTGATACATCCTTTGAAACCAAACAACGATATGCTAAAAAAAGAGATTTCAGTGGTTTAATAAAAAATGTGCACAAGGTGCCAATTTTTTAATCCAGTTAATTGGCAGAATAATTTATTAATAAAATAACCATTAGATGCAGCCCTAACATGCAATGATCAAAATATATTACTGGCATCCAGAGCAGTAAAAACTTTGACGTTTCTCTGCCCGGATTTCTAATCATGCGGCCAGACTGAGATTTAAGGAGCGCCAAAAGCAAATGAGATGGATTAGGAGTGTTTGCTGTGTTCTTACAGTTTTATCCCGGACTGTGAAATATCATCTCTGATATTAAATAATATGTTAGGCTGCCATGGCAGTCATGAGCCTGTACAGCTAGGTCTGTCACAATAACTAATGTAAATTGTCCCAGAAGTTATTGCAATAAACAATAATATTGCACAAACACATTCTCAAAGATCATTAAACTATAAATTCTAATTAACTTTTAGCCGTGGAACAGGAAGAAATTTATCCAAAATAATAAAAACCAACTGAAACAAAGCATAAAATTAATTATTACCTCTCTACAAACAAAACTGTCTTACAATAAAAGGGCTAGTTGAGACCAAAGCACCAAACTGAAGACTTTTGTCAACCAGTTTTTGGTAGAGAGGAAAAAAATAGAAAAACAATAAATACAAACGGAGTCAGTTTTATCTTATCCTGTGATTAATTGATTTAGAACTACATACAGCAGCACTGTTCTGTCAGAGTCCTCTTAATTCACAGGGATACGGACTGCTACTGGAGATCATCATCTACAACCACTCCTTGAAAATACTTTGATTATGAGTTACTACATTTCATTTTTCTTTGGGATAAATCAAACATATTTACCGTAAATTAAATGTTATCTATAGTGTGTGTTTTTAAGTATTTTCCCATATTATTTTTCTCTGCTAAATGTCATCCTGTTTCACTAATTCTATGTAACTACTTACTTACTGTTTTTGTTTATAGCAAGTCTCTTTTTTAAATAGTCTGTTTCTCTTCTTGTGTGTATCCAAACAATGTAATTTATGCATAAATTATTCCCAGCAAAAAGCGTCAGAGTGCGTGACTAGTAGATCTGTGCTACTTTTAATCTGAACACTTTTCAGACAAAAACACATCGATAGTAGAAGTAAAACAACTGCTGATGCTTTGGTATGCTAACTCCATATCAGCACATCTGGTTTAGCTGCTCTCGCATATTGTATACTTTAGACGGGGATATTATGTCTGCCTTGTTAACACATAATAAAATAAGTCTTAATAAATCGGTACTGCGCTTGAATCAGGGTCGTCAGCGCCGGTTAGCCTTGATGATAGTTAGCTTACCCGGTGGTGGTGATGGAAGACAGCAGGCTTTGACGTCAGCTCCACTCAACCGCAGTGTCCGCGACAAACATCCGCTGTCACATTTGAGACGAAAAAACTCGTCCAGTGGGGGCAAACCTCGTCTGCTTTCATTCATTTATCTCGCTCTCTCCCCTGACCTCCGTTTCATGACCAAACCAAACACAACAGGACTGGAGGATGTCCTGATTGGCTCTGTTTCCGTGGTGACGTCGAAACTTTTCAGCCGGAGGGATTTTGGTGATTTTTCGCCACCAAGCGGTTGAAATACGACATTACAGTAACTTTATATTAATGCAGAACAGGGGTGTCCAAACTTTTGGTGACGCGGGTCAAAATTGTGAAGTCAAAACTGCCCAAAAGTATTTATAAAACTGCACAAATTCCCTTTCCAACAATAAACTCAACTCAACACTTATTATTTTTTATTGTTTGTATGAATGAGAGCAACAAAGTACCACATAATAAATTCTCTCTCTTATTCAACAACCAAAGAAGTAGGACTTATTTTTAACGAGTTTTCCATGTTATTTAAAACCATCCAGTTTGCAAATGCTTTTGGGCTCAAATAAAAAAATATTCCACCTATTCTCAGCCGGTTTGGGTCACTTTCTATTTTAAAAAATTCGTACTGTAACAACCAAAGTTAAATAGGATAAATGAAAGCAGTTGATAAGTCTGGTCCTATAAAGAGAAAGCAAAAAGATGGTCGTTAAAAGACTAACATTGCAATGACAAGCACATTTAAGGCACACATGAATTCACTTAAAATTAAAATTTGTAGAATGCTATTTTTAAGTTCTTATTTCTGTCTTTCAGACAGAAATAAGAACTTGTGCTCTTACCTCATTAACAATGACGTAGGCAATATATTTATATATTGCCAATATATTTATAATTTTCTCATCTTACCACAGCAATCACTTATTAATAATCGCAAAATAAACATTAAGCCTAAAACCATATTTCAGATTCATCAAGTTGTTTTATATCCTTGAAAACAAAAAAACAACTAAAATAAGACCAGAAGAAAAACAAAAACAGGCCAGAAGCATGACCAGACAAGACTTTTTTTTTTGCATAGAGCAACTGAAGATTTGTTCTTCTTGCTTTCACAAATATCAGACCCAATACATTTGTGTAGCAGATGTTTTTTATCTTGAATCTAAGATCTGTTCTTGTTACTGTGAAAAAAGTTCAGGCTTCCCATCTTTAAGTAGTCAACTGTGTTTTACTAAAACTGCACAACTGATGTAAATTGGTTAAAAGTAACCTTCAGCAATGCCTCATATGGAGGATTCTTGTGACAGTTGACATGAGAACTTTCTTTTAACAAGAAGACTTTTGAAAAAGAACCTCCCTTTAAGAGGAAGACTTTCCAAAAAGCTGAAGATCATCTCTTCTCGCTTTATGAGGCATTGCTTAAGGTTCCTTTTTAACCAGTAAATTTAATTGATTACGTTTCAAAAACAACTTTAAATAGGTGGGTTATGTATATATATTCTATATATTATATACTGTATATAGAATATATATAATATACATATATATGTATATATAATATATAAGCTAATTATTTAGCTTATATGGAAAGTAACTACCTAACTTTCAAATGTTGTATTTAACAGATTTGAAATTTAATATTTACAATTTTCAATTCAAATTTACCTCATTTTTAACCTTCAAATTAGTTAAATTTATTGTTAAATTTCAAATTTAGTTTAGAATTTTCAAGCTAATCAAAATTCTAAATATTACGTTTGAAAGCTAAATAAAGCTAGACAAATATTTATCTGGTGAATTAAATATTTTGTTTGGAAATCAAAATTTAGCAGGTATGACGTCAAAATTTACACACACACACAAATATGTACACATATATACAATATGTGGTGATTTTGCATCAGTTTGCATAGTGTCATCATTCGGATGTGGGAGGAGCTTGGTGGCGCATGCGTGATACGAAATATACAATGACAAAATTATATCAAATTGTTTTTAAACCCTTTAAACGAAAAATGTTTTAAAATATTTGCTAATTACGCAATATATATTTTATATGAACGAAAAAAATATTTAGAAAATAATAAACGTCTTCCGATGACGTAGTGTCGTGAGGCGGAAGTTGTTTTAATCGCGGAAGTGAAGTACAGTAGTGCTGTTGTTGGAGCTGAATATTGAGATCACATTTGGGATTCTTTACAACGTTCACGGTTTATTTATTTATTTTTGCTTTATGTAGGTTTCTGAGAGGTTCACGTTCTCGGGTAGACCAGGTAAGAATAAAACAAATTTCACTTTCTTTTTTATAATTGTTTATTTTTTTCTATCAAACCGTTGATAAAGTTGACGTTAGCTAAGTTAGCACAGCTAACGCGACGTCTTTCGGAAACATTGATCACCTCCTCCTCAGGGACACGGATCGATACAAGGACCGGTTATGCAAGGCTGAAACGTATATTTATGGCCCCCGTGTTGTTGTCATTGCGCCAACATTTTTTCCAGAAGAGCTGAAGGGAAGGAGAGTGGGGCTGGAAAAATGTTTGAATTTTGTTCTGGAAAGTTGTTTCTCCAACCAAGCTTCATTTTGTCCAAATGTGTTAACTTTCTCGATTTTCCTCTTTAATTCCCTTTGATTTCTTAATTTGATTGTTGTTTATGTTCCAAAATATAAAAAAAACAAATTCCAAAACAATTGTGTTTGGATTGAAACCATTATGATCTGCAATTCACATTTAATGAAGACTAACACGGCCTTTTGTGAAAGGAACAGAAGCGCGTTGTTTCAGTTATAATTTAATTTCAACTTACTTTTTTATGGTGTTTGTTTTTAAATCTAACAGTTCTGTATTTTAAATTACTTTATTGTGCAAGTATGCTAATATAAATTGTGTTAACAAGCCCAATGAAATTAGACTAGTTAAAACAGTATCAATGATGAATGCATTGCCTAATTTAATTTTAAGTATTTAAAATGATGACTGGTTTCCTGGTTTGATTCAAATCACAGGACAGCAGATGAGGGCTTTATTTAGACAAAAACATGTTGTCCTTAAGCTCATGTTAACCTTGACATCCCACATGTACAGGTGCACATTAATGAACCAGGAAACACTTAAAATTAAATTAGTTAATAGGTAATGTCACTATACAAACGTTTGATTTTGTTCATTTAATTATTATAGATTAAACTAATTAAAATCAACACTCAGTTTCTCTGAACATAGATAAGACCAATAAATAAAACATTTTTCATTGAAAAATACTAACAGTCATTGACTCCCTCCACAAGGAGAGTAAGTCACAAGAGGTCATGCTCTCGTGAGAATAAGTCACAAAAGCATGTCCCACTGCTTAGACAGTGGGACATGTCTAAGCATTATGATGGAAACTAGAGTGGAAGGAAAAAAGTATGATGTAATAGTTTGTCAGGTATTCATAAACTTTGGTCTTCTGGCACTCCTGGTTAATCTCACCAGACTAAGTCTGGACTAGTGGATATATAATTTGTTTTTAAACAATCGTGTGCTCAAGAAACTAACTACCTGTTGCCAGCCCTCGGCCTTTTCAATAAATGTTTGGTTTTGAATCTTAGAAGACCACAATGCTAAGTCTGAGCTCAAACTTATAGTAGCTACTTGTATTTAGTTCTCGTTTGAGAGGTGAAATGTCAACAGACCAGTAGCTTGATCGAAGAATTCATCACTCTGGTAGAAAACATCAAAACACTTTACCTCCTCCTCACCTTGAGGTGACATTTCAACCCCAACCGGGAGGGAATAGTCCACCCACTTCTGTCTGCTGCAGTACAAGCCAAGAATAGTGAAAACATGTGTAGTAGTACAAAAAGTGTTTTAATGGTGCTCTACTGCTCCTTTTATCTCTGCCACACCCTCTTGATCTAAACCATTTCCAACTAACCGTCCCTTTAACCATTTGGGAGTATGAAAGCTGTGCCTGCTGAAGGACAATTTATGATGACAGATTCATGATGTACCGATTCTTTATCAAGGTAAATAAGGTGTGGTCTCACATCTGTCTTTGATTCTAAGCGGGATTATTGTTTTTGATCTTCAGATACAAAAAAAGAAATTCCTTACTGAGGTTGGCCTGTTTGTCAAACAAATGAATGACTTTGTTTGTAAGATGTGTAAAAAGTTTAAAAATGAGTTGTTACTGTTGACCATGACATAAAAAAAAAGAAAAAGCAACCAGTGTAACTTTTATTGCTCTTAAAGAAAAGTTAAATGTAGTAAGTCATATTTTTCAAGTTTCTTCAAAGAGCTGATGGCTGTGGGAGGAAAGGATCTCCTGTAGCAGTCGGTACTACAGCGGGGCTGATGAAGACTTTTAAAGTCAAAATTATAGATAGTTTGAACTAAAACATATACAAAAATAACAGTCAATCAACAACTTCAATCAAGATTTAAAACAAAATCAAATAAAAAAAACAAAAGCAATAATAAATATTGTATAGATCAAAAGATGTAGGCTGAAGGTACTCAGTTTATATTTTTATTTTATATTTTTTTTACAAACAAAACATTTCCACTCCTCACTGCTTTAGTGTTGCAAATATTAACAGAATACACAAAATCAATAATCAAAAAAGAAACAAAAGTTAGAAAAGTAAGTAAATCATGAAGGTTTCAATCCAATTCTAGGTTTCAATCATTTTATGTTTTAATTCCCTTTTGAACAGTGTTATGTTATTAATCAGTTTAAGATCCTGGCTACAGAGATACACATACTTTTTAATGTATGTAGGAAATTTCCCTACCAGCAAATATCCTTCAATAATTTCTGAATATTTTTTGGACCAGGCTATTTATTTTGCTTTGTATATATACATCTTAAATTTGACTAACTCTGCAAAGTAATACCATTGTCTAAAAACAAGTATGGTTTACTACCCTTAAAGCTTTTGTTTTTGCAGAATATAAATAAATTGGAGGTTGGTTCAGCAGTTATTCCCCCAAAGCTCTACACAATATGACAAAGGGAGCGGTAAAAGGGAGTTGTCTGAAGCATATAATGAACAGTAGGTCCAGTTTTCCCCTGACATCATTTACATGAGGTTTCCAACTACAGTTTTGATCAATATTTACATATACCCTTTCCAGCCTAATTTTTATGACTTTGTCTCTCATAATTATGACTTTAAATCCAGTATTATTGACTTCCTGTTGGGCTTTTATTTTTTTGTTTTGTGGTGGAAATTAGATCACTTGCTCCAACTGAAGCAGCACTTCCGCTAACCATTTAATCACTAAGACAGCAATGTCAAGGTGAGTAAAGTGTTGGAAAATTGACGGCCAGGCTCCCTTTACCTCTCTATTTTAAAGTGTTTGTATTCACTAAAAGACAAAAGCACAGAGTGTTTTCTAAAATGGTCAACAAGGGGTCAGCTAACCTGATTTTTAAGAAAAGAAGTAACAAAAAGCAACCAGAAACTTGTTTTATTTTTATTTTTATAAGCAAGGATTTCATTTCAGATTTGACTCATTCTCAGACCTCGTTAGGCGTAGCTATTAGGGATGCAAGTTATCAATTAATGAGCTAATCTAATGACTAATTGATTAGCAGCCATTTCCTTAGAAACATGAGTTTTCTTTTGTATTAAGTGTCAATCATTTTGCACTAATGTTTTTTCAAACTTAGAATTAAATTTTAACATAATTTTGTGTCAGCTGTATTAAATACTGACTGTATAAACTGAAAATTCTGAATTTCTCACATTGTTAAACTGAGACATATTTATAAAATATAACCAAACAAACCCCTCTTAGGTTGCTGAATAGAAAAATAAAATATACAAGATAAAATGTATAAAATATTTATAATTTAAGGGGCTAGTTTAAAATTTAAGGGGCTAGTTGAGTGTTTATATTTCAAAACAGAACCACTTTAAGACCATTTTGCATTTCAAACTGGACTTCTTTGGATCGTTTCTCTAAACCGTTCTGTTGTTGCTGCCATCTTTGTTTCTCAATCAACTGGTTCCGGTTCCAGATGACAGGCAGCATCCTCTTCTACAACACAAAAGACTGTCTAAGTGGCCGTTATTAATTAATCAATTGGAACAAATTTTAGCCTAATAAACCATGAATAGCAAGTAGATATGGACCAGCGTTATCCTTGCATATTTGTGTTAGTCAGCTGCCCTGTTTCTCCAATCTGTCAGGTTGAGCCGTTAGCTGACATGGCGGATCACATGGATGTCAGCTTGCCGCCCGAAGAGCGAGTCCGCGCTCTGACCAAAAGAGGCAGCTCAGTGGAAGTCAACGACGACGTGCCGCCACGACGCTACTTCCGCTCTGGCATGGAGATGATCCGAATGGCCCACATCTACACTGAAGAGGGAAACATCGAACACGCCTTCGTACTTTACAATAAATATATTACGTGAGTGTTTTGGGGGGTTTTCAAATTAAGTCCAAGACTTATCGCATAGACCACATTGAGCAATTGCCATAATTTTGTTGATTGTTCTGAAACTGATTCTTATTTCTATTTTAAGGCTTTTTATTGAAAAACTTCCCAAACATCGGGATTACAAGACGGCAAACATCCCTGAGAAAAAAGACACCGTGAAGGTGCCCAAGGAGTTTGGTGTTTTACCATTTATCTAATTGTGTCTTTTTTCTTTTCTTTTATGTTTTTGTGGAAAACTCACTGCTTAACTTTTTGATTCCTCTACAGAAACTCAAAGATGTGGCGTTTCCTCAAGCAGAGGTTCTCAAACAGGCTCTTTTAAAAAGATTTGAACAAGAATATGCTCAGTATCTGGTCAAAAAGGTAAGGCGAAGCACCAGTCTACTACAAAAGTGTCCATTCCCCTGAAACTTTGTTTTACATTTTATCAGTTTATTTGTATGGTATATTTCCATAAATGGGGTAATTCAAAGGGTGTTGCATCATCAGAATGGAAATATAACCACAAGTGAGCAACAACTTTACATCCAGTGGCAAAATAAGGGAAAATGACACTAAGTTAAAAGATAACTACACTTTAAGATGTTATAGTTATTATGAATCAAATGGAAAATGAATCTGGCTGGGGTATACTGGGACCAGACCAGTTGGAGGCAATCTACCGGAAAACAAATGGGGTTTCAACGTTGATTTAAGGAACTCACTGTTTCTGCTATTTTTAAAGTTTTCTGGAAGTTTGTGCCAGATTAGAGGAACTTAAAAACTGACTTTTGGTAACTGAGCCAGGTAATTGATTTCAATAATCAATTGATAAAGATTAATCACGATTAATTGATTATTGAAATAATGCTAAACTTATTTAGTACTCAATCATTAACTGGAGTATACAAACTCAAAAAGAGGCAGTTTTTGAGTGTGTATAGTCAAAATGTCTACATTAATCAATTGTGATTAATAAAGTGAATCATTTCAGTACCACAAACTAAGTGGCCAGACCTTTCACTCAGCTGTGGTTTGTCTTTCCTGCAGAAAGCGGAGGAGGAGGCCCTGGCGCTGGAGCAGTCCAGGCAGCGTGCGCTGGACGCCGAGCGGGAACGCGTCGCCGTAATGCAACGGCGGCAGCGGGAACAGGAGCAGTTCAGTGCCTTCGAGGAGATGATCCGTCGCCAGGAGCTGGAGAAGGAGCGTCAGCGAGTGCTTCTGGAGTTTGCCACGCCGTCCGCGCCTCCCGCCGACACGCCCCTCATTCCTGGCATCCAGGGCCCGCCGTTAGTGTCCCCCACCGTCCCGCTGAGCCCCGGCGATTCCGGCACCAACGACTACCACCACCATGGGCCTGCTGCTACGCCGGGCACGCCCGCAGCCGGACCGCCCAGCTTTGACCGCTCGCTCAAACCCGGGTCTCTGGTCAGCCCCGGGAACAACAGTGAGAATCATTTCTTTTCCCCGAGCTGCTTTAGTTCCTGTTTAAACTAAAGATGCACTGATCCGCTATTGAGGTCCTGACACTGAAAAAAATAATAGAACGAGCTTCACAATAAAAGGGTTTCATATCGATATATAATTAGGCCTGACACTGTGACCAATTTTGCTGGACAATATATTGTCCCAGAAGTTATTGTGATTAACAATAATATTGTTGTTTGGAGACCATTTGTAAGTAATATAGTGAAAGAAATATTAGTGCAAGAACACATTTTCAAAAACCAATACTTTAAATTTTAACACTGGAACTGGAAGACATTTTAAAACAACAAATACAATTTATTATGGAGTCTCTGTACACAAAAATGTCCTTCCGAAAAAGCATAGTTGAAACCAAAGCAGCAAACTGAAAATTTTTGTCATCCAGTTTTTGGCAGAAAGAGAAAACAATAATTCATGAAAATGTAAATTATTGAGATTGTTTTAAATTATCATGGGAGTAATTGATTAATTGCGACGGATCTCATTATTAATAATTCTCATTAATAATGAGAATTATTGATCACTTCTATGTTTTAAATATCTGAAATACTACCAATCAGATGGCGTGGCCTTTCCTGTTTCATCCAGTTTTCTCTCCATGTCGCTGTTTTTATTTTTAAGCAGCTATGAGGCGAAAACTTAAAACTGCTTCTGCGCCAGTTACTCCACAAGTCGTTGCTAGGTAACCACAGATTCTGCCAACTCACTCTGGATCAGTTCAGTGCATATTGTAGCTATTGATTATTGATTTGTAAGATTTATTATCTACTGGTATTGATCACAAATATAAGGCGATTTATATTGTTATTGGTTGATTGTTCAGCCTTAAGTCCAGGTGTCTGTGACAATGTGCCTGATGCATCAGGACAGATGAAGCTATTGGTGGATTAAAATGTCCTGAACTGGTGCAGCATTGTCAATAAGTTTGTAATTTATGTATGCGTTTGGTTTTCAGTCAATTCAGAGCTGCTTTTCTGTATCGTATCGGTATTGGCTGATGATGGAAATGGATAAAATGGACAGACTTTTCCATTCAGCTGCTGTTTTCCTCCTCTGTGTGGTTTTTGCAGGTACGATGGTGGATGCCCTCCGGCAGCTGGCCGTGCCTGCTGAGCTGTGCCGCAGCTTCCTGAGGCTGGCCGAGGCCAACACCAGCCGCGCTGTGGAAACCTGCGGCATCCTGTGTGGAAAACTGGTAAATCTGTGGCACATAGCAGCTCACACGATTTGTTTTATTAAATTTCTCAATGAAATTTGCACATCTTAAAAGTTTACAGTGCTTTGCAAAAATACTTATAGCCATAAAAAAAATCTGTTGTAAGGCCAAATTTGTTGGTATGTGCTCAAGAGAGACAAAATACAAAGTATTGACTCAGAGAGACGAAAAGCAAATGCACCGAATGGTTAAATAATTAATCGACTATTGAAATAACAGCCAACTAATTTAGTAATCGATTAATTGTTAACTGAAGTATTTTCAGTCGTTTGCTAAAAATAAAAGAAGAAACAGTAGCAATTAAAACAAAACTGTAAAGAAAATAATTCATTTTGCATTTAAGAAAAAAAACCCCATTTAAAAACATAAAATTGTAACGAACTGAATGTTCTGTTTTTAAGAAATATTTGCACCACGAATCCTGACGTAGGCAAGATGTTGCCAGTTGCTATGACAACAAGTATGTGTGTAGCGTAGCCGATACGGAGAGCGATAAAAATTATATTTTTCCCTTTGCTGTGGCGCTCTGCACTAAATTAATAATCCCAACGTCTCCAGGGTTCATTTTGTTAACGAATTGTTCCGCCAATGGGTGGAAAGGAAAAGGAGATCCTTTTTACTGAATTTCACATGTAAACAATAACATGTCTACCCACTCCACACATTTCAGATTTTATTTTATTATTCTTCCTCTTCAGAGTTATGTGTCACTATGTGGGATGACTGCATGAAATCCTAAATATATATAATCTATTAAAGTTCCTGGTCATTTATCAAAAGCATGACTCAGCATTCTTTGACTGGTTTGTGTTCAGACCAGAAATGCGTTCACTGTGACTCACGTCATCGTGCCGAAGCAGTGCGGCGGGCCGGACTACTGTGACACTGAGAACGAGGAGGAGCTGTTTCTGATCCAGGACCAGCACGACCTCATCACCCTGGGATGGATCCATGTGAGGGACAGGAAGCTGCTGGCTTCATTTCCTTCTTCCTTCCTTCCTTCCTTCCTTCCTTGCTTCCTCAAAAATAGATCAACTTTCTATTTTTCCTTTGATTATTGAACAGTTTCCATCTCTGTTCTGTTCATTTTTATTATCAGTTTCATTCCTACAAACATTATTTCTGTTAAAAAAAAGTCTTATTCTAAATTACGAATCAAACATTTTTGGTGTCTTTGATCGCACCTCGAAAAGTTCGGGAAACATCAAAGTTAGTTTTATGAATTAGAGAAAATCTACATTTATTATTGTACAATAAATTCCTTCAAATGCTCTGGAGGTTTTATGTTGTTAATGTTAAAAGTTGCAGTAAAATTTGATTTCGTTTTTCCAGACTCACCCGACGCAGACCGCCTTCCTGTCCAGCGTCGACCTCCACACACACTGTTCCTACCAGATCATGCTGCCCGAGGCCATCGCCATCGTCTGCTCGCCTAAATTCAACGAGTGAGTCGACGGAGAAGCCCGGCAGTTTTCCGGTCATTTCCGCTGTGATTGTTTCAAACCTTTTCTGATTGTTTTCTTGGTCAGAATCGGCTATTTCCGGCTAACCGATCGAGGAACGGAAGAGATCTCCTCATGTAAACAGAAGGGCTTCCATCCTCACAGCAAAGATCCTCCTCTCTTCACAGTGAGTATAAAAATTAAAACGTTAATTTCATTTATATATTTCCATCCAGATGCAACCTCCATTTGAATTTTTACGACAGTCTGAGCGGCTCAGTTTCAATCTTTTCACCCAATTTGTGCCACTTCTACAGTAATTGCACCCCATAGTTTTCAAACTGTGTGTTGTCTGAACAGTCATGTCTTATTTTGTCTGACTTTTATGGCATTAATGTGAGACAAGCGTCATAATTCTGCACCAGAAGAAGCCAGGCGCGGTAAAGAAATGCTGGGTCAGATTATTCCGCTTTATAACAAGGCAAAAATGTCTTCTATCTGCCAATAGAAGAAGAACTTTTTCATCAATATTAAGAAATTATTTACATAAAACAAGTTCCTAATTTTTGTAGAAATGTTATTTCTTAGTTTTGTCTTATTTCAAGTGTCTTAAGATGTTTGTACTAGAAACCAGATCTAAAGTACTAGATCAGATTTTGTTTTTTTGCAGTGCGAAAAAAAGGTTTTAACATCCTTCCGTTAATACCTTTTTTTATCGAAACTACCATTAAGATAATTCATTTTTGTATTTCCAGTTCAATGTGAAGGCAGTTGGTGCAGCAGGTCGAGTTGGTGGAGATACTTCCTCTAAATGCGTTTCTCCTTTTCAGCACGCAGGACATGTGAGCATCACGGATGACTCTGTGAGCATGATGGACCTGCGGTGATCTTCTGGTTCCACCCGAACACTCGAGGACTGTTTAACCGAACTGAACGTGTTTTACTGGAAGGAGCTGCAAACACTCATTTTATTTTCCCGGACGGTACTCAGACAAGCGCCGACCACGTTTACCGTTTATTTTGACTTTTCTTCTCAAGAGGAACTGTGTTGAAAATTCATGTAATTGCACTTTCCAAACAAGCAAACTACTATCAGACTCATGGACTTCTGACCCTCTTGTCTTTTCCATGCTTCTGTTTTTTATCCTTTATTTGTTCTCTGTTCTGCTTTCTTCTTTCAACATGTTTGTCAGTGATCACTGACAGGTGAGATTTTGATTCTGCTTGACAGATAAAGTGCCAAGGATGTGAACATTCATACTTTGTTGAGTTTTTTTGTTGTTGTTTTTTTTCCCCCAACTGTTAGAAACTCTTTGGGTTTTTCTTTTATTAGCTTTTGAAGTGATATAACTAATGAGATGCAAGCCAGCAGTAACTCAGGTACGCAGGCAGTTCTGCTGTTCCTGCCCGGTATTCAAGTTTCCCTTTATTCACAAAATGAAGAATTTAGTTTAAAATGTTATTCTGGTTTGTGACGGGAGCCATTTTTTGAATCATTTCTTCATTCCTCATGTTTGTTTTCAGAGAAAGGCTGATAATAGATATAAGCTTTCTACTTGTCATATGGTGGTGTGAATAAGCAGTTGAGTGTGGGCGGCTGCTGTGACAAGAAAAAAAACCTGATTTATTTTGTTTTTGCTTATTTTGTCGCTCTTAAATGTTTCAGATCATCAAGCAAATACAAGTAAATTTGAAAACCAGTTTTTAAGTGATAATTTAATTAATTAAAAGATACAAAGCTATCCAATGACTTGCTCCATTTAGAAAACTGTAACTAAAAAGCTAAATGAAACAACAAAAACAGCCAAATGAATCATAAAGTCTGTAAACAAAATTGTCCTTCAGAAAAGCATCAGAAAAAAATACTTTTGTATTTGCTAGAAAGAGAGAGAAAAGTGATAGATAAATGTAAATAGCAATTGAAGCTTTTTTAAATTTATCATGTGATTAATTGATTTATTGCGACAGTCCTACTTGTCAGTTTCACCATGTACTGTGTAAAATACAAAGTGAGTTAAAGGGGGCGGAGCCAGAAGCAGCTTTTTTGCATAAAAGGGACAGAGCCCTAAAACTTTCTGAAAGGAGCTCAAACAGGCTGAACTGAGGGGGTGAATGTCTTTAGTTCAGAATTATTTTGTACAAAAAAATTTAATTACCATGTTTTGTACAACCCATAAACCTATCCTAACTTGCTTAAAAAGAAGTATAATAGGTTCCCTTTAGACATCCAAGCTCAATTTCACCATTTTTGATGATTATTGTAGATGTAATAATTAACTCGAACAGAGCCTCTCTGCTAACTAAAACATCTCAAAACCCTTTGAGTTGTTTTGAGATGTTTACTAAGTAACTCCCATGAGTTTTGGGATGTGAGTGAACCAAAATGAGATTCATAATGGAGAAAACATTCAGCAGTGGAGAAGCTCTGCAGGGGAGGTCTGTCAACCAAAGTTACTCCAAAACGCATCGAAAATTCAACCAGGAGGTCACAAAACAATGTAGAGTAACATCTAAAGCATGACAGACCTCGGTTCTGTCCAAAGTCACTGCTGAACCGAAAGAACCAAGAGCTCAATGTTAGTTTACCAAAAAGAAAACATGAAGATGATGAGAATAATCCAAATCACAGCAGCAAGTCTACCTCTGAATGACTAATAAAGACAAAGAAAAGTGGCAAAAATAGTTGCTAGCTTCAAAACTTCATCAGGTTTTTTTTTAACTTATTTTTGTCAAATATTTAAATTTATTTATGATCTGTAACATTTAGGTGTGACAAAAAGCAAAAATTATAAAAATCAGATTTTTTTCATACCACTATATGTTACTAACATGTTCATTGTCCACATTGTTTTAATTTGATTGCTCCTTTCTTGTAGCCATAAATATCAATTATATGCCAAGAAGAAAATAAAACTTATAGATGAATTTGGTTGTTGTGCATTGAGTGTGGTCATTGTTACAGCCACTCATTGTGGGCATGAATGTTGCATCATTTTGGGAAGTTTAATCATGTGTTTGAGCAGTTTTAATGCAATAATAATAATAAAACAAAATTGTAGCATGATGCTACCCTCTCCATTCTGTCCTGCTACAGAAGGCCACAGAAAAAGAACATAGACAATGATTGGGAAGAATCTAATTAATGTGCTCTAGTGTTGAAGTTTTGCCTAATTTATTTAAATATATTACCTATTTTTTTGTTTTATTATTGATTGATTTATTATTGTTTATCTTTCCCAATTTTGTCATGTATTTATTTTCAGATGTATTTATTTATTTAATTTTGGCTGAAATGGCTCTCTGTAGTTACTATATTTCTTTATGGGATGCAGGAGATGTGAGAATAAGAGGAGAATATCGATCATGAAGATGCGAAGTGCTGGTTAACAGAGTTTTAATGGCATATTATTTCAGTTAAAATTGAAATCCGTTTTTGTAGAATAAAGGTCATTTTAAGAAACTTGTGATGAATGACTGATCCGGAAGATGGCGCTAATAGAGATGACTCAAAAATAAAAAAAGAAGAAGAAGAACGGCACCAAACAAGAAGTACAGAGAAGGCAAAGAGCTTGTATGGTATACCGTTGAAGTTTGGCATTTTTTACTGTATTTAATAGTTCAGACCTGCTCATACAGTGAATATGGGGAAGCGACAGCACCAAAAGGACAAAATGTAAGACTAAAACCTTTACGACGTCATAAAAATATATTGTACCTGCACCGCTAACAAGCTAGCATGCTAGCACCCGTTAGCTTGTTTGTGGTGTTTAAATTAAAAGATTGTAAGTGTTTCCTCTTTATTTTTTATTAATGTTTGTTTATTTTAACATTATTACAGGTACATCACATGTACAGAATACACCAATTTTTATGGAGGGAAACGAGCAGGTGACTTTCAACTACGTTAATTCTTTATTTTAGATAACAGTTGTGACTTGTTTGTTTTGATCATGTTTTATGAAGGGCCTTTAAGTTGTACTCTAATTTATCAATGGTTTCGTACGTCATTGTTTTATAACCTGGTGTAAGTCTGTTATTATGAGACCTGCGGAAATGGGAGAATGTGTAAGAAATAAACCATGTAATTCATCTATATCTAGAGCAGAGGTGGGAAGAGAACCTAAATATTGTATACTTAAATAAGAACAGCACTACTTGAACATATCTTTATTCAAGTTAAAGTGAAAAGTAGACATGGAGTTAGAAATTAACATAAGTCACTGTATAGTAACTGAAAAGAAGGTCAGGTTGATGATGTAAATATGTTGTTGAAACTTTAAATATTTTTTCAGGAGTATAGTTTTTGTTTGTGATAAATTCTTAAATTTAAAACAACAATTACAAAACATTGACTTTAGCACAGCTTTAGGCTGACATGATTGAACCGATAAGATGGATGGATTTTCAGTTTTGGCTCTATTTTCCAGAAATCCCCCGAGCAAACTTTAAACGGCTTCCGTTTGACCACTGCAGGTAAGAAGAAATCGCTGGAACTGCTGGAGGACAAAAGCTGTTTTTATTCTGTTTTTCTGTTCTTTGTTTCATTTGTTCTGCCTGTCGGTCTTTATACTACCCAACACTGTGATTATTATTGTTAAAGATCCAGCTTCCTGGAACATCCTCTAACATTTGTTTTTCTATGTTTTGTGAGGTGTTTGTTGACAGAAAACAATAAAAGGATGAATTCACAGTTCTCCATTTTGATTTTATTCAAATAACTCTATATTCTACCTTTTTCGGCTTCTTTTCAGCTTGTCCCTGCAGCCGTTTGAGTATCCCGTCTGCACTGAGGAGGGAGTCGTGTTTGACCTGCTGTGAGTAACTTGTACTGGATAATTAATGATCACCCCTTTAAAAAGATGTCACAATCTAACATTCATTATCATTTCAATACAATAGCATATTATATTGATTGATTTTTTTTTTTACAATTTTTCAGTTAATGTTCAGTTAAAAGAAATAACTGGTTGTGTCGCGTTTTATTTCTTTTGTAAAGAAATGAAACAGGAGTTGATTAGAAAGTAGACATTAATAGAAACCTAAAAACCCAGAAGAATTATTGAACAATTAGATTGGGAATATTAGATTCAGTTTCCTAATGAATAATATGCTCAAATTAAATAAAGGTTGAAATTTTTTAAAAAAATTAATAGTGAAATATGTTATTTCAAGCGTCTTTTGCGTATTGATGAACTGATTTGTCTCCTTTAGAATAACAGTTGTGTTGGTTTAGTTTTTACACAACTGTGATGGATATTTTGATGATGAACTTAAACTATTTTTGACATAAAACAGCAGACCATTATAAGAAATATAACAGCCTTTATTTAGTTCCTTTCTCTGCTTTCCTCTCTTTCTCAGGAGCATTGTTCCGTGGATTAAGAAGTATGGAACGAATCCGATCTCTGGAGAAGTAAGAAAATGTATTTTTCAAATACTGGATATTTATGAATTAGATCAAAATTTTAACATTTGTGTTTCATGTTTACATATAAAGTTTTCTTTTTTGTGTAAAAAGACAAAAACACAGGAATGAAGCACAAATGACTGTTTAGATGAACATTTACTCATTAAAACACTTTTCTTAAGTTAACCAACTTTCTTTAGAGAGAGAAATTTAGAAATAAGATCAGACACATAAACATTTAGGAACTGAATTTTTATGGAGCGTTCTATGTTTTCCATGTGATTGTTCTATTTTATATGTATATTTAAATTCCCAGAGCTCATTTTGAAGGTTTAAGCCTTTTCTTAGTTGCTATTGTTGTTTTGCAGAAACTGGAAGCAAAATCTCTTATTAAGCTCAACTTCGCCAAGAACAACGACGGTAAATATATTTTTTCTCTCAAATGAATAACAATGTGAACATTTCCTTCATGTGATAAGGATTAACTTACTTTGTTTTTGTAAAATAAACATGCTTTAGAGTTGTTGTTTGGCTCTAATTATTTGACATTTGGTCATCCCATGTATCCTGACAGGCAATTGAGTGTTGACAAAATGTTCAAGTTGTTGCTGCTGATCCCGACACTAAATTATCATATCATATCATAGTCTTCTTTTGGCCAACTGTTTATTTCCTTTAATGTTTTCATTGTTGTTGCAGGAAAGTATCACTGCCCCGTTCTGTACAACGTCTTCACAAATAACTCCCACATTGTTGCCAACAAGGTCACTGGAAATGTGTTTTCCTACGAGGTTCGTAACTTTTGCTCTGCACATCCTCACTGAAAATAGTTTTCAAACACAAACTGATGACATGATAAGGAGATGATGTTGATTTTGGTTTCAGTTTTAAACCAAACAGGATCAGCAACAATATATTTACAAAATACTACTGTATGTCACAAGGTTTTGTGTACAAGATGTTTATTTTTCCCAAAAAAGCTTCATATTTGCTTTTTACAAACTTTTTTTGGGTTGTTTAATGACAGTAAAAACTGAACATTTTACTAGTAATCAAACAAATCAGCAACAGAACATAAAATATATTTTTTGCTTTAATTTGAATTAATTCTGTTTGCCTTCAGGCTGTTGAGCAACTAAACATCAAGACCAAAAGTTATAAAGACCTGCTGACTGATGAGCCCTTCACTAGAAAGGACATCATAATGCTTCAGGTTGGTGGCAGACTCATTCCTTTACTTTATTAAAGTTTTTATTCTGGAAAAACTGGTGACGTTTCGGTCGTTTTTGTTTCATCTTTGAAGGACCCCACCAACCTGGATAAGTTCAATGTGTCCAGCTTTTTCCACGTGAAGAACAACCTTAAGGTGCTCGATCCAGGTTAGTGGCTAAAATTGTTTCCCCCTCAGAAGTCGTTAGCATAGACTAAAATTTTACCCAAGTAGGAGTAGTGTCACTGCTACTCCCCTACTTCAACATCTCATTGCCCGGATTTCTAACCATACAACCAGGCAGAGGTATGATAAGGTGCAGCAAAAGCAAACGAGGTGGATTAGCACTTCTGATGGTGACATCAAGGATATTTTACTGTGGAATGTTGTCTCTGCTGCTCTGAATTTGAGCTGTTAGCATGTTAGCATGTCATGACCGTCATCAGACTGTCGTACAGCAACAGCCTTCAGTCAGGGGCCTCTTCTGATTCACTGCAAGACTGACTGCTACTGCCATAAATTGGCCTGTCACAGAAAAAACTTCCGCTGGAAGATGAATTATACCAGAAGTCATTGCGACAAACAATAACAATTTTGTTTTGAGACCATTTTCAAGTAATATAACGGTAATAATAATGCAAGAACACATTCTCAAAGATCAATAAACTTTAAATTCTGATGAACGTTTAACACTGGAACTGGAAGGCATTTCAAATACCTAAAATAAATAAACAAAAAGTACAGAAACAATGAATAAAATGAATTATGAAGTTTCTTTAAACAAAACTATCCTTCAAAAAAAGGCTATTTGAGACCAAAACACCAAACTAAAGAATTTAATCATCTAGTTTTTGGTAAAAAGAAAATGGTAACGCAATAAATTATATATATGTAATAATCAATGTGATTAATTGGTTAATTGCTTATTACAAGATTAGTTGCACTCATTTCTTTGTGCAGTTGGGGGAATTAAATCGTCTCAGAAAACGTCACGCAATCCTATAAATCTGTGTGAAAAGTGTTAAATTTCTGAGCCGTTTCCCCGACTCTGTCCCCGTTCCTGTTCAGATGAGGAAAAGGCCAAGCAGGACCCAGCGTACCACCTGAAGAGCACCAACCTGGAAACCAGAGAGACCTTGGCAGAGCTCTACAAAGAGTACAAAGGGGATCAGCTGTTGGCCTCCACCATGAAGGAGCCTGAAGCCAAGAAGACCGACAAAATAAACGCTGTGAGTAAACACAAAACGCTGGACAGCCGAGACGCTGAGGTAAATTCAAGAAACCAAAGCTCTCCCAGGAGTCGTTAAA